ATATGCTTACACTCTTAAAAACACTGGGTTAAAACAACTTTATATACATATATATGGTTTTCTTATCTTTTCAAAATAAACAATACGGAACAGGAGGTTGTATCTTGCATCCACTCCACTTCACTCCACGTCCCAAAGTCATCCATTGATTGTTCGTATTAACCTGAAACATCAAGACAGAGAGTCCATTAAAGCAGTAGTTCAACATTTCTGACCACACCACATCACACATCAGCTAATGTGTTAGCTTGCTACGTTTGAGGCAATGTACTTTATGCTACTAACGTTGCCTAACCATTAGCTTGCTCACCTACCAGCCGATTTGAAGGCAGAAGCTGGTACACAACAGTGCTTCACAAACTTACATCTTAACAACAAAATGCAGGTGTATATAATAATATCAAGTCATCTATATGGTAAAGCAACAGTGGGAATGTAACAAACCCTGCTTTGTACGTCACCTCGCTTCAGCAGTTGTGGCATCAATCTGGTGAGTGGGTGGAGCTTGGTTTCAAATGCCCGAATATCTACCCAATGTGTTGGGTAGTTCACAATAAACCAACAAAACTGTATAGAAATTACAACCCAACAGCTAGTAACTCTGTTTCCAACATAAATAACCTTGTGAACTGGGTACTCAGAATACCCAACTCCATGAAAATAACCCAAATAAATTGACCAAAAGGCTCAACCTAGTGGTTGGGTTGCAAAAACAACCCAACGTTTTTTTTGTGTGTAGTTGGGTTCTCTCTCTGACTGCTGTGGTTTTGTGGTTCAGTGTTTTATTCTGCTATATACAGTTTAGGTGACTGTTAAATTTAAACCCTGATCATTTTTATATGGATTGGTTCATCCAGCATGCTCAACCAATCCTAACAATAGTACCTGGTACATGAGATTTGATCATGCCTGCTAGGTTCAGAGGAAGTGTAACTTAATTAATTGCTGATGGTCTTGCTCATTATTGTTTATTGTCAAAATGCACCAGTATGAATTTCCGTCTGTTTCATTAACATAAAAAAAAAACTCTTCGGGGGAGCTTTTATTACTTTTAGCTAACAATTACAATCATTTATAGTTTTAGTAAGCATTAAGTTAGCATATCATGTTGGCTCACCATTACTGTCATTTTAGAGAACTTTTACAATTTTTATTACCTTTAAGTTAGCAATAAAGTTAGCTGCTGTGTATTAAAGGGGTTTCAAAGATTTTTCATACATAGTTACTAAATAGCATGTGTAGAGTTACAGAATAATCGAGTAATACCCCCTTTGTAGTGAGTAGGGTTTTTTTATAGAGTAACAGCTGTGAACAATAAGCCATTACAGTGCTAAACTAATGAGTCAGTCTAACAGTAATGTGGTGTCTGTGACTGAGGGGGTAGAGTGAACTAAATAGTATTTTAAAAATTGATTGTTCTTTACCACCTCAAGTTGGTGCAAAGAAGTGTCCTTGGTTTGTGGCTGTGGATTTGGTGAAACAACAGCCGCTGTAACCAGGGTATGATGTGTGAATGTTGGCATTCAGTGTAAATTACTCCTAGTGATCAAAAAACTATAGAGGGGGTACATCTACACAGACCAAATACCGTTTAGGTTAGTTATTAGAGATCCTGACCTTCAACCACACAGCCTGGGCCTTAAAAAGACAGATCCCTCCTGAGGGATCAACAAATCCTCCAAAATGATGAGATCAGGCAAAAACCCATTGACACTTGCTGATAAAGTCGACCTTCTGTTACATTCAACTCTTTTTGGACTGTAAGAATACGGGGGAAAACTGTGTGTATTGTGTATCCATGCTTGTACGTGACTCTGTTCAGCACCATGGAGTCGTCTAATGACTGAAGAAAACTGCATTTCAGACATATCTGTACAAACACACAAACTCAATGCATTTCAAATACAGCAATTTCCCCCAAAAAAACTGTTTCACAAATAGGCCAAGATTTCAGTTTCACCATTCATCTTTCTACACTTTCTCAACCAATAATTTTTCCCTCTCTGAGACTCAGTTTTTATTTTACACCCCATTTAGTTTTCTACCCTTCCTCTCACCACTGCTTTTCACCCAAACAGCACAATCCCATCCTGAAGAAATGCAGCAAGGCTGAAAACTTAGTCCTGGCGAAATACTGTGTGTGTGTGTGTGTGTGTGTGTGTGTGTGTGTGTGTGTGTGTGTGTGTGTGTGTGTGTGTGTGTGTGTGTGTGTGTGTGTGTGCGCCCACCATGCTGCTGCTGTGTTGGCATCTCTGTAGAGTTTTTCTATTTTTAGCAGTTTGAGTGTTCAGTCTGGCATTACTTCAGAGAATAGGAGAGAAATAGGCATGATGGAGGAAGGCAGATGGTAAACATAAAAAGAGGCAGGGGGCAAAAATCCAACCTTTTAGATAGAAAGACGTCGCCTATCTACACCCCAATACATTGTTTCCAAGTCCACTGACATGAAGTACTGTACATGTTAAACTCTAAGGTTGTGGGTCAAAAATAATCTCTATATGAATCTCTATAAAAAAAACTGTTTTTTTTCCGACATGGACTAGGTTTCAGTACACTTAATATTCTCCTCTGTTTTAACAGTAAAGATAATTCAGTTACAGCAAATGTAGCTATGCTGGGGACTTGTAAAATATGTTACTTTAACAGTGGAAAGTTGAGGGAATACAGTCACATCTCATCAATCATTTCATCAAAACTAATTTAAATCTACAACATTAACTCAACAAGTATTTTTTGTTTAAACTCAAAGTTACAAATATCACAGGCTCAGTAGTTCAAAAAAACAAATTCAGTCTTTGTTATCTAGACTGACAGGAAAAAAACCTTCATGGTTTTTATAATGGGGTCAAAAACTCATTAAGATGCAGTTTATTTGTATAAATTAGCATCAGAAAATTAACAATTAACTTTAATTTGTCAGGCTAGCCTTGGATAAGGACCTTGATTTTCTGCTGCTGCTGTGTTTGGGGACAGCAGCACACTCCTGCTCAAGAAAAACTCCCCCTTTGGGACCAATGACATGACTTTAGATCTGCCATGTTCAATCAAGATTCATCAGTGTGATATTACTCACAGGAAACAGACCACACTCCAGGGAGTCAGCAGACTATCAGCACGGTAATTACCCCTGCAGAGTTACAACACACTGAAACACCTTGACCTGTGGGTCACTGAGCAATGTAGACTTTGTCAAATCTGTATGATCATTGAGTTGAGACATTCATTGGGTTGATTAAACACTTCAAGTAGTAAAACACATCAGGAAGAGACAAAGTAACAGGCTCTTAACTAAGCTCTGAGTTTTGCCAGACATGCCATATAATGACATTTGTCCAGCCAAGGTTATGAATAACATTATAATATTATTTAGCTAATCTGTTTAGGTAAGACATTATAGCCTACAGATGTGATTAAACTTCTTCTACGGGACCTCAAATTCAATCCCAGCGCAACTGGGACATCTTGTGGTCAAAAAGCAGGAGTGCACAAAAATTTTCCAAAAATATTTTATGTATATTTTATAAAATATCTATTTTCTTTCCTTTAAATGTAATGAATGTTTGGCTAAATGAAGTCTTGGTGATTTTTGTCCTGTCGATACTTGATGTTATCTTTTTGTTTTGTTGACTGGCTGTGTTCAGCTGTTTGTGAAATGTGGTGTTTGTAGCCTAGTTGGAATCAACACACCGTAAGAGATGCTTTAAGTTTTCTAAGCGTACCCTAAATGGGATACATAAAATAAGGAATAGGGGAGAGTGGGGTAAGATGAGCCATTTTTCATATTTTGGATCACTACATCAAGGCAATCATAGTTTTGTCTCTAACTAGTGTATCTGCATATATTTCAAGATGTTGTTCATCCCTGCAAACCAACAGAATGAGTGTAAACATTACTGTCTTGATAATATAGCATGCCAAAAATAAAGTGGTCTCCTATGGTCAACTTACCCCGTGTATGGGGTAAGTTGACCATAGGAGCGGGATAAGTTGAGCCGTATCCCTACTACCCCCCAGTCTCCACCCCAACCCTACCTCACCTTCTCTCTCCCTAAATAACAGTCACTTCTTCACATTCATGTGTATTTTTATCTATTATACGCTACTTAACTGGTACAATAATTCTTTTATTATTATTGCATGTAACTGTTAAAAAGCTGTTTTGTAAAAAGCTGTTTTAAAATGAGAATGTCTTTAAGTGATTCAGAACATTCACAGCTGTATTTTTGAAAAGAAAAAGTAACACATTTCAACAATCTGAACTAGAACTCTGATCCTCTCATCAAATTCTTTTACTTTCTCAGTTGGACCACTGGCTCAACTTACCCCAGAACTACTATTATGACTTTATTAGTCCTCTAAGCTAAAACGGTGGACTTTTATTCTAGGTTTTTGACCTCATGTAGCTCATAGATACCACAATTGATGTAAAAAAACAAATTTAAAATGTTCTTTTTTGGTCTGAACACAATTCTAATAAATCTTATGACAGACTAAATTCACTTTGAAGAGTGAAAATGTTTTTTTGTAAATAAATTTCTAACTCCTTCACCTATGTGCTTCTAACCTTCAGAGACTCCATGAATTGATGCCCATCTCCTAAATATTTGGTCACATCATCAATTTCTTTTACTATTTCCGAACAACAGGGGGTGGCTCAACTTACCCCACTCTCCCCTACATGGCAAACTTTACTGTCCTTGCCCAATTTAGACTGTTTTTTAACATAATGGGGAAAAAACAAGCATCAATAAAAAGTATCTAATTGTTTGAAGGCTCTTTAAAATTGAAAAAAAAAGATAGTCTTATTCAGGACTTCATTCTTGGACTTCCTGAATTTGCGACCCCTAGTGACCCTCTGATAACTGGCTTTTCTCGTGTATTGGACGTGAATCACAATAAAACTTTACAGCAGGCCTGTGTCCAAAGTCTCAAACCCACAGCAGCTAAACACAGACACGTTGAACCCTCCTCGTAGACCCGTAAACCGGAATCTGCTCGTCAGTGAGGACGTGGCGCGGCGGAAACCCGGACGATTAGGAGCACGAAGACGCTGCAGTGTTGTGCGCAAACTCAGAGAGTCTCCGGCGGTTGTGTTTTCCTCCACGTGGACCCCGTCATTGACCAAAACACTCCGGTCTCCGTGGCAGGAAGAGTGCGCGCGTGCTTGTCCGCCGTTGCGCAGTGCAGAAGGCGACGCGCGAGCAGGGCGGTGCGGGGCGGTGCAGATCTTCCTCTGACATGAACCTGCAAACACAAACCTGAAGGAAATAAAGCTAATAATTGTCCACACGTCAACTATGCAGACAGGTAAGCTCCTAAAACAGCTGTGGAGAGCATTGTCTGTGATCACACAGTTATGGTACATACACACCAGCGACGGTTTAGTGCGCGTACTGCTTCAGTGTAAATTAATATTTACTTACATTTCAATACACTCTTAGCCCATAAAGGACGCTACAGTTTTATGCTACAACTAGACAAATGCGGTTCTCCGTTTGTGTTGCTGTGTTAATTTTACAGTAAATATACTACACACTTTAGTAGAAATACTGAGTTTTTGTCATTTTTGGGAAACGCTGTGAAGTAATACTGCAGTTCGTTTTGTGGCAGTCCTGGGTCATGTATGAGGCTATGAGTTAGCTTAGCTCACTTCCCACGGGGAGGGTGCAGCAGTAAACCTAGTAAACTATTCCGTATGTCAACAAATGGGGATTATGCGGTGTGTCCTGTAAATGACACATCAACACCGAACTGTGTGCTTACAGGAAAAACAAAATATCTATCTCAAGCCGAAGAAGCAGTAACTCATCTCTCTCCAGATTACTGTCTTTGTTGTTTATTGTTTTAATGTAATCAAATCATATGCTCTCAGAAACCTGTGACTGCAACCAGGTCAAAAGTGATTTGTGATCATAATGAGTTTGTATGCTTACACAGGTATGCTGGCAGAGTCTCAGCTGGGCAGGTTGCTCCTGTGTATCCTGTTCCTGTTCTCGCTTATACATCTGTGCCTGGCCGCACCAGGGTTTACGGGAACACAAGGGTAATCTCTCTTATATACTCTTTAAGTCCTATAAATACACCTGATGAAATATGCTTTTTTTTGGCCTAATATTTCCTTAATCAGTGTCATTAGCAGCTGATTTACTCTGTAAATATGTATCACAATGGGCTGTCTTTATGAAGCTCTAAAACAACATGTTAAATTTTGTATTTTTCAAAAACAGATGTTCTGTTGTCACTGACAGAAAAAAAATATTATATTGTTTATGTCTGTCTATCTTTGATTGCAAAGAAATGAGAAATAAAGTTCAGCCATACTTCTTAATCTTATAGGGAAGGATCCCACTCCTCAGCACCAGCACTAGCCAATCCCTTCAGCTCTGGAGACGATGACCGTAGGTGAGTGACACATAGACATAGAGCTGCAGTTACACACCCAGATAACTTTAAGCTGTACATGTATTCTCAGCTGCATGACTTAAAACAGATGATTTAATTCAGTCTCTTAGCTTTGAGCTTATTATCCTACAAGATGTCTTTACTTTGCTTATTTATAGCATCTGAGAATGATAGGATATGTATTGAAAGACTAAATGAGCTTACTGTCATGCACTGTTTTTCAAACCTCTGTATTACTTCTTTAGAAGCTTTCACATCAGAAAAAAAACTGAATGCAAACCAGATTCAAATTTGTTTTGGTGGCCTAGGCAGACACTGTCTGCTCACTGTGTGAACTTTGCCTGCTGTGTTGTGCTAATGATGTTTCCTGCAGCATACTGATAAGATTACATGAAGTAAAACACTGTAGGTGCTTTCAGGACATATTTCTTTTTAAAAACGCAGAAAAAATACAAATTATAATAAATTTACAAATGTATATATTGCCATCTTTATTCACATTCTGTTCCCTTAAAGTATTATGAACTTCAGCATCATGAGTCACACCCGTTTCATGTTGTAAGGTGATAAAGTGAAAGAAATAATCACTCGGTGGATTGCCAGCAGTATGGAGACTACACTGACATCCACAGTAAATCTCAATAGATTCTTGATTGGGCTGGTGTGGGGGTTCTAAACTTTACATTTAAGTAAGGTTCATGTCCCTCAGCTAATGCCTAATCATAAACATTTAATAATGATAGAAGAGTTAATAGATCTGCACCTTCATACATCATATTGTGAAAAAACAGCATCGTCAGTATTGAGAATTGGGTGTTGCAGTATTTAAAAGACAGTATTTCTAAATCCTCTCGTCTTTCAAGTGAATTTCTCCTTTAAATGTGTTGGCAGTATATTTTTTAGAGAAGAATCTCAGCCATCCTTATTTAAGCAGTCAAGTACAGGACTTAACTGTTAAAAAATCTCTATTAAAAAAAGGCAGTGTTGGTGATGTGCAGTCAATCACTTCATCTGACATCTACCCCCTGCAGCTTAAATATAGATCTTTTTGAATAGTCAGTCTATAAGCTGATTGTATGGTTTCACTTTGCAGCCCACAAAAAGGCATCAATATTAATCTTGGTCCGTTTCATAACTATTTTCAAGTTTCTGTGGGGAACTTTTTTTTATGTCACTGTGGTGCCCCTTGTGGACAGAGTAGTAACTAATATATATTTGCTGATTTTGTCCTGTATGAGCATAACATACCATGTTTTCTGATAAAAAATTCAACTTATATTTTTACATTGCAAAAAACTGTAACACCAATTGCAAACATGGATGTGAAAAAGGTTTGAAAAAGGTTTATCGTCATCAGCCTGCTGCAGATCATCTCAGCTGATACCTCTCATATCACAGGGACACTGTAGAGGCATTCAAATGTTTGAGTCTAAAATTGTCAGTCTTTCTTTCGATGGTCTCATTTGCTTTTTCAGGTTATTCAGAGGCATTACTGATAATTTCGGTGTGCATCCCAACAGGGGCTGTAAGGGAGCTTGTACCATCAACTGTGTTTTAAGATCAAGTATCAGGAAAAATGTCCCTTTTGGAGTTGTTTAAAGGAATATGACAGACCCAGCTTTAAACTTATAAATTCAGCAAATGTCCACCTCAAAACATAAGGAACTCTCATGAGATTATATTTTCTCCTTGTTTAGATAGTCATTTGTCAACACCGTTTATACAGTGTACACTGAATTCAAATCTTGTTCCCTGTGCTGTATTAACTCCAGGTTGCTACAAATATTCATACAAGCCAGTATGACAAATGGCCCAGGAGGACCTGAAATCAGCACACGAGAGCAAGGTAGACATGTCTAACTATGGGAAAATTCCCTCACTCAATATATCCTGCTGCTGTGTTAATGTGCATACAACACTCAAACGTCTCACTATATATCCTCTTCTGTTTATTTCATTTATGTGGTATTATGTGATATTTAACATGTTAGTACTTTCTTCATAACACCTTAATGGCTAAAAGGGCCAATGGTGGTGGACACCTCGTCTCTCTTTGCTGCAAGACAAAAAGATTCAGAAGATCTTTTGCACCCACAGCCACCAGACTTTACAATCCTTCTATAAATAGTAGATGACTTTTTGAGACATGACAAATGAGACTATAGACAATTGAATTTCCTTCAGGGATAAATACAGTTCTTCTTATTCTTGTTTGTATCAGAGGTTTTCTACATGTTTGGTCTCTATGACTACGATCATGGCGGGTTTCTGGACGGACTGGAGTTGATGAGGCTTGTCTCAGAATATAACCACCATCATTCACCTGGAGCACAACCGACTGAGCAGGTAAGCAGGAGTGTGCAGGTGTTTGAGTGCTTTTTTGTGTGTACCTTTACAAGCTCAGTACTATAAATGGCCTGATCTGTTAATCTGAGCTGGAGTTTGCGTATGGGTGTGCTGATGTCTGTTTGTGTGTGTGTGCATGGGCTGTGTTCTGAGTGCAGGTGGTGGCCATGGTAGATTTTTTACTCCAGACTCAGGATCTAAACCAGGACGGCCTGTTAACCCCATTGGAGCTGCTGTCTCCTCCATTACCTCTCATACAGGTACTGTTTTTATACACATTACAGCATGGAATAGTATTATTTAAAAAGATATAACATTGTTTTTAACATCTTGACCCTTTGGGAAGTAGTTTTATGTTGACTCCTGGTCCACTCACTGTTTAAAAAGAATAAAATATCATTTTCCAACCAAACTGATGCATTTGTGAAAGTTAATAGTAAGTTAGTCTTGAGATTAGGAGTGTTTTACAAAATCCTAAATGTTCATCTTTCATTATGTGAGATAGACAGAATATATTGCATTAATGAAAACTGTTTATTTTATTTTTGCAAAATGTTAGATTTGATGTATTTGTCAGCCATCAGTTTCCGACTATCATACTGCAGAAAACTTTTCCCTTTTTTCTTTCTTTTCACTGCTAGAGGCTCCATTATGGCAGAAAATCATTATCCTAATTCCTATAGTCAAAAAGATCCCAACATAAACATATGTTGCAATATATATATATATATATATTTTTTTTTTTTTCTAGATGTTTAATGTTACATATGCTTTTGGTTTTTTTAAATTTATTGAGCTTTGTCAGGTTTTTTCCCTGGTTGAATGTTTTATCTTCAGATGTAGTGACATTATCATATTTTCTCACCATCAGGACTCCGTCAACAACGGTGCACCAAATCAGGAGCAGGGAGTGGCAGTGGAAGAGAAGCTGCCTTACCCCAGTGCTGATGAAAACACAGTAGGAGAAGAGACCATAGAGCACAGACAGGGGGTTCATGAGGAGATAAAGCCTCAAGATGAGGACCTCCCTCAACAGGAAGTAAAGCCACAAGAAGAGGAACTAATGCACTTAGAGGAACAACATGGACAACAAATCCCAGAAGCCCAAGCAGCAGAAGAAGGACAGGTCCACCAAGTCCCTGTTCATCAGGGACAACCAGAGATGTGAATACACACAAACACAGACAGAGGTTGCTTTTAAATAGAGTAAACAGAGGACTGAATGAAGCAAAATTACCATTCACTGAGATGACATCATCTTAATCAATTTCCTGGATTATGGGCTCTCTCGGTTCAAACTCAGACTACCATCGGGTTAATTCTACTGTCACACTTCTCATATGGATGATACACAATTAACTGAACCCTTTGCAAGTAGCTCCTATCAAAAAAACAAGAATCAAATGGCTTGGATTTGAATTAAATTTGACTTTTGAAAAGAAACATGTAAGAACATCAAATGCTGTTTCTTAAAGTTAGTACTTTTTTTCAAGGGATGTAAACACTTTGACTCTCAGTTCTTTGAGTGAATGTTAATTTTTTTTTTATTTGAACACTTGATTTGCTTTCATTGTGAGTCTTTTTCCTCTTTTTGTCTCACCTGGAAGAAGAACTTTTAATGTGGTTGTTGTGTTCCATGTTGTAATGTTTTGTTTTGTTTTGTTTTACAAACTGATTAGCCTTAATATCTCTTACTACTCTGGGCTTTAAACCTCATTGCTGCACCTGGTGTTCCAGGAAATCAACTTTTGTCTTCCATGAGAATTCTTCTCAGCCTAAGCCCTGAACAAAGGAAGTTATTTTAAGAAAAGCACTCATTTTAATGCAGTAATGGGGAGTTGTTCTTCATTTGTGCCACACATGAGTACCATTCAGAAGTGTTAAACTTTGATGATGATTTTTATGTGCCTCAATAAGTCAGGCTTACTGGACAGTACTGTAATGAGCATGTGTATGACTCTGCTAGCTTAACTTTGAAGACTGCAGGCTTTAATGAAGGTCAGAGAGACTCTGTTTCAATAACATCAGACGCAGACTTGATCTGCCAAGTGTGAATGTGTTTACAAGATGAAAAGGTTTACTATTTGTTGTATTTTGTTGAACTTTTTAAAAATAATTTGAGCACTTTTACAGCAATGAAAAATAAAGTAATTCGTTTATCACTTTGCCTATAAACTGTCTCAACCTCATGTTAAGAAGGAAGACATCTAGATTTAGATTTGTATATCACAAATATAGGGGAGACTGGGGCTTGCTATCACATGGGTAAGTTGTCACAGAGCACATTGTGAGCTAAGATGAGCGCCAATTAACCATTTCGCACAACCCAAAGTAAAAAAAAATTACTATCAATTTTAAAATAAGCTTCTAAAAAAAGAAAAATTAAAATCCTAGCAGTGAAACGTGGACTTGTTAGAGGAGAGTTAAGGCATCCTGTCATACCTCAGTCATTGTTCTGTTACAAGCTAACTTTAAGCTACAGCTAGAATTAGCAAACATGGTAGTTTGGGGCAACATGTCTCAGTCACTTTGAGGTTAGTTGTCACATGTTTAAAAGGGATTAAAATTCATATAGTCTGCTTATTATCAGTTGTCATATAGAAACGTTGACTTATTTTTACAGAAAAAAGGTGGTTTAAAGGGTAAGGGAAAGTGAGAAGACATGGTCAGGAATTTTAAAAGAAAAACAGTTGCATAACATTTTATGTTAACGTTGTTCAATGGCTGTGTTCAAAGACTTTCTAGCTCAATGATAAACATTTTTTGTGCCTGATTTTGATGTTCACTTTTAAGTAAAAAAAAAAATAAAAATAATTATGTCCTTGTTTTATTAACTACAAAATCCACTGACATATTACCTCATGTAGTGAGACAACTTACCCGATGGTGGGGCAACATGTCACATGATCACACTCTCTATTTGATTGCTTATAACTCTGCACCGACACAAGATACGAAAATGACATGAATATGAAATATATACCCAAGACTCTGGTCTTTCATCTGGTACACATTTCGTTTAAATATGATGTATTGATTCCAAGAAATATATGAGTGTAAAAAGTGTGACAACAAGCCCCGGTCTCCCCTACATCTTTTTTCAAGCAGAATGTAGATGCCAACAATGCAGGAAATGCAAATAAAGTGTTTTCTGTTTTTTAATCAAACTATTACCAAGTCTTGGAAAAACACAATTTTTTGGTGAAAAATATACCAATGTATGCAATGTTTCCAAAGTGTACCTGAAACCATAAAGTATATTCACAGCAGGATCTGTTTGAGTCTATTTCTCCTCGTCATTTGTTAGCTGAGCTGAGCTAGCTAGCCATTGCCTCATTGTACTGTCCGAGTCGGTTGCTAGGCAACTGTATAACCCCAAGCAAGCATGGTGGAGAATAAGCTAAGTGCAGGTTAGTAGAAGTTGGATAACCATCGAAGTTAGTCAGAAACCGTATTTAGTAGTTCGGGTCATTAATAAGAGATGTTGTTGGCGTGTCTCAAGCGTTATGATTATCTTGATGGTACTTTTCTAGCTCGTTGGTTGACAGAAGTTGACGTTAACGCTTAGGTGACTGTTCTTTGTCTTGTATCTATCAGAGGCTGTTCACAAGACGATCAAAGCTGCTTTTGAGTCGTTTGAGTGTAAAGACAACAACACAGTGGATGTCAGGTGAGCTTGAACTACACATTTAGATGGTTGGGGGTTTAAATGCACATAAACCAGATGGCTATAACGTGAAAATGGAAAGAGGACACGAACCGTGCCTCTTTCAACCCAAATTAATGTTCTTGTTTGGTGTTATTTGAAAAAAACGTGATAAAATGGGATCTGGAAACTCAATCCGAGGACGACATGCCTTTTCTTGTAGTAGCATAGAGCTCTAACATGATGGCATGATGTGATGTTTATTTTGCAGGGATATCAGCACCATCATCTATTCACTGGGTTGCTTCCCCACTCAGGCGGACATTCACAACTTTATTGCTGAGGTAAAAAAAAAAAAAAAAACACACACATTTTGTTCAAACATGTTTGACATAGACTGTATACTATTCTGTACAGAGTCTATGATGTTTGATGAATAAATGAGTAAACCAGTCAAGTTGATGATCTAAGGCTTCCCAAATTTGCAGTCATAGATTAAGACCTACACTTTTCAGACAACAGTCATACAACCCACTGTACTTCAACAAGCCCAACTGATATCTGTGGACCAAACAGATAACCAAGCAGATGATAGAAGTATCTCTACATTTCTTTTCTGTATAATGGTTAGATGGTTCTATGTTTACCTGGAGCTAATGTTATTAAACTAAGTGCGTTACCACACAAAAACACTACCTTAGTTTGAAATACTGTCCTTACTGGGATGATAATGAGATTGTGGGAGTTACATCTGAAATAAGCCTGACTGGAGTACTCAGAAAGATGCTCTTGACATTCCAGCTGATATTGTGAGGAAACATCCTGGTCAGGTCTGTCAAACAGATTTTAGCATGTCTTTTAGGAACTTCGACTAAAAGGTCCTTTCATTTTTAAACAGGTGGAAGAGGACCAAACAGGATTTGTCCATATTGACAAGTTCCTCCCAACCATGACCACAGTGCTGTTAGAGAACAAGTAAGTTATTGCTACTTCCTACAGCCTATACTCTTGACTGATGCATGTTGTTCTTGTTGAAAATGCTATTTTTAGGGTGGGATGAAGCCCATATCATGATGACAATAGGTGCTGCTGTTTAAACACATTTTCATTTATATAACAGCTGCTCTCAGTAAGATGTTATTGAAAGAGATGTCAGAGCGTTCCAGACTGCTTTTATATCCAATGAATGTATTGAGGTGTAACATATGTGGTGTACCCCTATAATATAAACAGGAATCTGTCTTTTAGATTTCTATGATTTTCTTTTCAAATGCTTAATGGGTTAGAAAGATACTCAAGAAGTTCACAGTTGTGTCTCACCATGATAATGTTCAGGCTTCACTGAAAGCAGTTACAAAACCTCTTTGAACAATAGCCTTTAGTTAAATCAGGCTTAGAAGGTCTTCGCTCAGAGAACATTCACGTTTTTAAATCATATTGTAGAGTCATACTGTATAATAATAGTGTGTTTGTTTGTGTGTGTTAGGTACCCCCCCATCCCTGAGGATCGAGTGCTTCAGGCCTTTGAGGTAAGAGTAGCAGCTATTTCTTTGCTTCCTCTATTTCAGTTGATGTGAAGAGGTTAGATGGATGTTTGAATCTTAAAAATCATATTGCAGGTGATTGAAATGTCTTTCAGCTTAAAGGCAAAAAAAAACTCTGTTAACAGGTTCTGGACAGAGAAAAGAAAGGATACCTGGAGTCTGAGGAACTGACCAAGTATCTGACACAAGAAGGTGAGGGTACAGTTCCTACTTTGAGAGGTAAAGAAAAGGCAGTGTTTCTTCTTAACCACATCTGTGTGTGCTTTTTTATGGCTGCCTTTAAACCAGGTGAGGTCTTCAGTCCGAGTGAGATGGATGAGATGCTGCTGGCATTCGCTGACCCTGAGAAGAACCACATCTATTACCAAGACTTTATCCACCAGTTGACCATTGACCCTGACAAGTAGATGGTGTCAAAGTGTATATTTGTGTGTCAACATGTTGAGGAATGTTGCACTATGGATTTTATTGTTGGCTGCTCATTCTGGTGCTGAGGCTCAAATCTGACTGTGTTTGTGGAGCTGCCTTACACTCTGGTGTAAATCCTAAACGTCTGGGAGGTTTGGGGAATTGTAAAATATATGAATCAAAGACCAAAATGTACTTCAAATATAATACATAACTCACTGTATTATTGAAGGTCAGTTATGTGGTATAACAGGCTTTATAAGTTCATGCATCTAAATACTGTGTTTACCCTCTTACGATTTCATAATTTCTGTTTCACGCAGCAAGTCGGGGTGTTTGTGTGTGTGGGTTAATTTCTTTTAATCCTGACTTGATTTTATCATTAAATTAAAAACAAAAGCTCAAATCCTCCTCAGGTTCAGATGCAATATGAGCCTGTGAGCAAAAAGATAAAGAAATTTAATAAGGCAGTTTTCTGCTGTCCCCACTATAGGACCAAGGTTTAAAATAGAAGCTGAGGCAAAAGGCTGGATCTAAAAATAGCACAGACCCACTCAGCGCTCTGCTGCAGCAGGCTGGAATAACTGGAATTTCATAGTCTTAGTTTCCAAAGACGTTTTTCCTTTTTTTCATGTGCATTACATATGAAAAGAAAACAAAGCAGCTCTGGTTCATGTGATCTGTTCTGTTGGTAACTTTGATGATCTATTTTAGATTTCACTCTTCATTGCTGGTTAATCAATTTAGTAATTCCTTCAGTAAAGGTAGCTTTTTGTATTAGTTCACAAAAACATACCAAATAATCTAAAAGCTATTCTGTGCAAGTGAATCTGAAATTTTGGGAGTACTTAGGTCTCTTAACAATGGGTTGAAAAAAAAAAAGGCACAAAGCTGCAATCTGTTGAGATACAGATACAGTCTGAGTCTAAAATCTTCCTCTGGCTGTCCGAGAGAAACTACCATAATGAGACAGTTCTCTAAAGGGTCAATGTATGAAGTGACATTAGCTGAAATATAAAAATGAAATGTGAACATTCCCAATAGTGAATTATGATATAGCAGTAAACAAGCAGTGATTTGAAATCCCCTTAGCAAGTCACATCTGTCTTTGCTGAACCTATTAAAGTTAGCAACATTTAATAAAAAAAAAACTGCTTTTACTTTCACTCATTTACTCAAGTGTAACTCTTAAAACTGAGTCAGGACAGGCATGAACCTTAGCAAGAAATGACCCTGAATAGAAGTAAATAAACAAAGCAGTGATTGCCTGATCAGCATAGCGTTTTATCTTATGAAGTTTTGCATCAATCAACATGCATGAAACAGTTACACACAGCTTCGGGACATGAACGTCATGATTCACCTAGAGGTATGTACATGATATGACAGCAAGCACAAGCAGAACATGAATGCATGCTGGAGTTTTTCATTTCACAGTAAAATAATCACCCATAAAACTGTTCCAATCACTGCGTAAGACAAAGGCATCAGAAAATACAAGATAAGCTTACAGTTATAGAAAAAGTCTGTATTAAACATTCCCTTACCGCTAAAAACCTAGAGTCAGAACAGAGTAAGGCCCATTTACCTTCAGCATAATTGAACAACAGAAAATCAATACAGAGAGAAAAGAAATCAAGGGATTCCTTTACCCTTAGGTGTTTCAGTCTCTAAACACAATATCAAATGCATTGTAACATAAATACATATGTTCCTCAGTGAACTGGGCTTTAACATTCAGCTTCACATAACTAACAAAAGGTGGAAACAACACAAAATCAACAATTCCCCTGATATGCAGTGGTCAAACTGACTTCATTCTTACAGAAAGATATCACCAAAAACAGGTCTGTGATGGAATGTTTGTTAAAATCCAGAAAATGTAAAATTACATTTAAAAAAAGTGATTTCAACCCTGAAAATAGTGGATGACAGATGATCCCAGTTATATTATTCAACAAGAAAGAAAGCCGGAGTGGTAGTTGAAAGAAAACATAAGTGTGGAACTGAAAGGGATTGGGGACACCTTTGTGTGGTCCACTGCTCCACAGGTAAAGAGGGATTCATGGAGAGTAACTCTGAAATATCAAATCTGCAGCTTCATGTAGTTATTTCTTCAAAAAAATCAACAGAGATTCAATTGTGTCCCAACGCCAGGAACAGCTCCTCTGCATCAGCGTTACCAGCAGCAGTCTGCATGTTTGGTCCTTACAGAGCAATAAATGAACAAAAGGAGAAGGAGGCAAGAAAATATGGCTCTCGACAGAAAGTCTGAACAAGTCATGGGGTGGGGGACAACAGTAACAAGAACAAAGGGAGGATGGAGGTAGAGAAGAGATTTCTGACATCATATCCAGCTACCAACGATAATTTCTGAACATTGTTGTTGCATTCTGTGTTGACACACAGAGGAATGACCGTCTCAAACCAACACAACCAAACCTTTTTTTTTCACATATATTAGGAAAAATGGATGTGATCAGCTCACTGTTTTTACCTTTTTCAATGAGATCAAAGAGGGTAAAGGCAGGATAATTTCAGTCTTTAAACAAAGCCTCAGCAGTTTCAGTAATTAAACCTCGCTTTGCTGCATAGTGAAGTCACAGGATAAAATAAAGACAGTCTCTCATACAGCAGAAGTTGTGCAGCTTTGCTAGCTTCTAACATGAAAATATTACACTTGCTATGTCACCAGAGCAAGGCTGTATGTATGTAAAGTCTCGAGACACAATTCATGTAAGACTGAGCTACAAGCCTCCCTTTGTCGACGTGAAACAACGACCTTCTGTTTACATGACTTGATGCAAATGTCATCCCTCGTTATCTCTCTCTGGCTGAAGGATAAGGCCTTTAAGGAAAAAAGAGGAGGAAAACAAGAGTCAGGTGATGGGCTACAGTGACTGGGCAAAGATGTTTGGGGTCTTGCCCCAACTGAAGCAAGACACAGCAGGGCAAAATAAGTTAGACTGAATATAAAAAGGTTGAAGCACAAAGGCACAGACAGTGTAGATATATCGTATTCTGTAGAACTGAGCCCATATCTTTAACATATGGAGGTTTGACCTGATTTAAAGCCACTGTAATCAATCACCTGATTCCTGAGAGTGAAAACAGATTTAATCACTGTTCACCTGGGCCGCCTGAGCTGTGAGGGGGATGGCATCACCCTCAATACACAGGGAACTTTGCATGATAGGTAGATCAAGTTTCCAGAGTCACATATTATGCTAACGCCAGGTCAGCACTACAAACAGACAGATCATTCAGTGCCCTTCTTTAAATCTGCAGCACTAAACCTGCAGCGGAGATGTTGTCCCCTCCACCTGCAGTCTGAAAAACCTCTGTGCACACCAGCACTGGGGCGACACAGATCTCATAGTCCTCCTCATCCCAGCAGCTGACAGGCCGGCTCTCCTGTAGAGGGATACGCTGACTGCCTTCCTGTCTGCTCACAGAGAAAGAGTCGTCCATGATGAGCCTGGCCTTGCTGGGGTCGATGTCATTCGAGCCGCAGACATGACGGTTAGCTGTGAGAGAGGCTTTGGCTGTGGCTGACATGGTGTTCTTCCACTGGGAGCCATGTGTCACAATCATGGCCTGGAAAGCCAGTGTGTGGACGTGGAGCCGGGTCAGTGGTTTACCCTCACTGCTGTTGGTTTCTTCCCTGCTGTCTCTGTGGCGCTGGTTCAGAATGCGATACACCTCCCTCATCTGGTCGAGGACGGTGGCTACACGAGGGTTTGGGTCTGACAACACTGTGATGTTGGAGCCTTTTAGTAGACTGAGCAGGTTTGGAAGCTCCTGTTCATTCATCCCTAAAGAGTCCGACTACAAAGAAGAACCAAGACAAGAGGTTAGACTCTGGATGTGCATTTTTCTGAACTGTGTGTCTCAAAAAATAAAGATATATATAAAACATCAGGTATTAAACGCACTCTCGTATCTTTGCATACAAATGAGGACTCAAACTGTTTTATTTGCAAATGTGTTCAAAAGATTCAAGCAAATCTTTCTTTAAATGACCATGCTGGATTTGTCAAACACCATGTCCCTTTTATGAGGACATCCTGGAAAACTCTTGTGCTTAACTAGATCCAGTGATTTGATGTGCATACAAACTATGTTGTTCAGTCATACATACCCGAGGAATGATGTAGTGAAGCAAGTCTTGCATTATACTCTCCTCTACAAAACTGGCCATCTCAAAATGAACCCCAAGCCTTGGAGATGAAGCGGACAGGAGTTCTGCCAAGCGGGAGAGGAGAGCGTCACGCTCACCTGAAATCATGACAGGAGGAGGTGTTAGGAGAAAAGCTTAAACACTACCCCCATTAAGTTTAATGGGAGTACAAAATATAAGGAAGATTAACTAAGAAACAGATAATGCAACAGTCTAGTAATCTGATTGTGAATGTAAATTGTGATTATTGACCTCATTACATTTGTGTATGTGCATCAAACTCTGAAAATACTAAGTCCTTAAGCATTAACCGTAACTTTCTCTTAAAACTGTGGATTTTAGAAACTCTATCAAACTGCAGTGTCATTCAATTCAGATCAAAATCATTTAAATCTTTACGACTGGTTGTGTTGATTTATAGATAAATAGAGGGTCTGTCTTTTCTTACCCGTCTGGAAAGGAAAGTTATCCATCATCTGCAGCCCCCCCACCACTAACAGATCTGGGTTAAAGCCTTGCAGTTTCCCTGCAAACTCCTCCATGGAAGCCAGGTATGGGTTATGGTCATCACTGTGGACGATGTATCTGAAGAGCACAGAGAAATTCAAACTTCACTGAAAGAAGCCCTCTCACAGTTCTCACTTTGGGTTATTTTCATACAGGAAACAGAATCAAAATTAAAGTAATCTAATTTTTTTGTATTGAATTAGTGTTGTGATGATTTGCAGTGATGCGTCAGCTCCTCGCCTGCCACCTGAGGCCTTAATAAAATTCAGTACAGTGAGCGTGTCTGGTTCATTTTTTTTCTGTACTGATGTACTTAACAAACAAATGTTGATTAGATTAGACCTGGATAAGAAATTAAGACAAAGAAAGATTCATCCATAATGATCCAATTTCAGCCAAACAGATTTAATCACTGCTGATGGTTTGCAAAGTGTTAATCACGACACTAATCAAAGTTAAAAGCACCCACATCAACATCTTACTGTCTGCAACGCCTCAAGACTCCAATTATACTGTTTATTCACCAAATGCTGAGCCAACACTGACCTGTTGGCTCTTCTTGAGGTAAAGGGTCCCCATCTGGCACCAGAGGGATACTCCAGGATCAGATGAATGTCCGGCTCCTCTACTGCGTTACCCGCCACTGAAGAGACAACCAGATGCAAAGCAACATAAAGAAAACCGAGTTTGAATAATGTAAAATAAAGATGGCATTTAGAGCGTACCAGCAGTGAGTATTTCTGTGTGTACCTGTAATGTGCTGGGACAACACATCAGTAAAATCCGGGCTGAAACTTCCCCCAAGCAACACATCACACCCCTCTGTTGCCATGCGACCAGCCATTACCGGGGCATTGCCGCCTACTGACCATCTGTTTCCAGGAAGGTCACGGGACGCTTCAACCAGCTCACTGAAGAGAGTCTCATTCAGCACGAAACGCCTGCAAGACAGAAACAAATACAGTGAAACACAACTGAAACTAAATGACAAGGAGTGTAGGGCAGCAACCTTCCCTCTGTGTCTCATCGTCAAGTACTTGAGTTCAGTGCTATGTTAAAGCCCTTTGACACTGTCATTGTGGTTCAAGTGTGCTGTAGAAATTATACCAGAAAAAGAAGAAGATGAGAATTAAGAATAGAGAAGTTTGTCTAAAAGTCAAGGGGTAATTTTTAATGTAACATCATTAGTTTTTCTACGATGCCTGGTAACTCCACAAAAGGGTCTTGTGATGAAACTCATTTTTCAACCTGAGATATCCAGAGAAATATATCAACAATCACAAACTTCAGGTCTGAAACGTTCCTGTGTGCATGACAATGGAGGCTACAGCAGATCTGTTGCATCAGTCATGTAGAAACGGCTTCTGTATTATTTAGTGAGATTACCCTGACTCTGGCTCCCTCTCAACACCTCAAACACATCAGTGTCTCACTCAGTGTCTGCCTGGAAACTCCAAGTGTGTTATTATCATGTGTGTTATGTAATCATGTGGTAAAACTTGAAACAGTGTCCCTGACAGTGAGCTGAGAGAATAGCAAGTGAAAAACTGCAAACTGTGCAAAACAAAAAAACATCTTGTGAAATCTGATCTTAATTTGAAGTAACCCCATATTCTGACCTAGAAATACTCGAATTCTGGAACAAATTGAGATTTTGAGATAAACTGTAATTTTCATTTAATGAATTTTCTTGTCCTTTTTGCTCACGATGAAAGCCTGTTGCCTTTAAGTGTAAGCTCTCAAAAAGAAAAGTAACCTGATGGAAAAGCCAACAAAAATGTGAAGATTTAATCAAACTCTTAATTGTATTAATCTCTTGTACTCATGAACTTTATCTGTGGCCTGAAGACAGATTGTGTTTGAGATTTCTGTTGTGAATACTTTCCTACACAACCCTGGTGGAATTTGAGTGTGCGTGTGAGATGAAAAGAACAAGTCAGGAGTTCAGTAGCCTGAGGGGTCCAACAAAGAAACTCTTAAATTTGTCCTCAGCTGAGCTCAAGCCTCATAAACTGTGGATCTACGTCACGTTTCCTCTTTTTCTTTTTCCAGGTACACCTTCAATTCAAACATGAAACTCAGCAAACCAGTCAAGGAGTACATGGAGAAAACTAATATTTGCACTTAAGTAATGTCATCATGCAGTGAATTTAGGAGTCATTTTCTTAGATTCAACACGATGTTTGGATTAAACTGTACAAACAAACACTAGGTACTTACTCTGCAGCTGCTCCTGGTGCAAAGAAGTAGGCAAAGCTCTGGGCCAGTTGCTCTGCATTTTCTATGTAGTTATGATGAAGCGGCTGGTCTGTAGGGGGGAGGCCAATCTTGTTAAGCAGCGATACTCCGTCCACGAGCAGGTCCACACAACCTCCAAAACCTGAGGGTGAAGGAGCTTTGAGACTGTGTTGTATTGTGACACTCTACTACTCTCATGCTCGCATCATTTTCTTTCACATCCGACCACAAAAACTAATTTTGGTTTTCCCAACAGGTTACTTAGTCTGCCCAATAAATACGAATTACACTGACACAACATCATAAATCATTTAAAAATCAATTAATTAAAGATGAGATGAAAAAACAGATGGCATATGGAGGAGAATATTGTGTATCAATCATTTTTCTTCAGACTCAAGAGTCAAACTGAATCGTGCAAACAGGGCCGAAGGAAATGTAATGCCAGCGGTCAGGCATCAGTAAACTGAGCAGAGAAATCCACACACATGCAGCTGCTTTGGCATTTGTCCTCCTCAGCGGTTTGTCAAATGATCATTTACAGTTTCAGCTGCCGGATCGAACATCAACACATGCCCTTTGGCTACAAAGATTTTCTGACGAGTTTGAACAAGGACCAACACGCTGAGGAGCAGCAGCAGACAGACTAGAAAACCTGTTAGCCTCAAATTTGGCCATTTTTGGAAAATTACATTTCTATTGATTTTGAATAATTAACCTAGAGTAAAATGTTGGTTTCAAGCATCTGTGCTTGCAGCTGCTTTTTCCTGCACATATCTGGTTTCTTTAAGGTATTAGTGTAAAAAAAGGGTAGGAAATATCTTGGGCACTCCATGTCAGAACATAAAGATAAGTACAATCTACAGTATATGTCATATTGTATGAGTGATGTGACTTCACCTAGTTCAGGGTAATTATCTAGAAACAGGTTTGACTGCGTGGCGGGGTCTGTTGTTGACGTGGTTAAAGGTTGGACAGATATGGTGAGCTCCTCGGTTTTGTGTTTGTACTGTGGTTCAAAGTATTTAAAGATTTAAGGATAAGATTATTACGGACAAGACACAGCGCAGTCATGCAGATGATTAGGTTCAGAAGAGTAAGTAAAGTCATCTGTGGTCTTCAGGTGAGGTATTCCACCTTAAAAAGCTTTTAGATGTGAAAACTTTGAATATGTAAAACTTGTGTGGATTATTTGGTACCCCTTCAAAATAAGAGCTGAGGCTTTATCATTTAATCTGGTTAGTAAACCCACATTTGTTTTGCAAATACTGGCACGCCCCTGCGCTCTTTCTGCACAGTTCCTCATCACCAGTTCAGGTCTCTCCTGAGAAAGAGATTTTTAATCTCAATGGGACTTCCTCATTAAATACAGCTTCAATTAATACAATTTAAAACAGAGCAGAAGGCATCCATTTGTTGGAGAGTGGCGATCAACGCCCAGTTAAGCAAGTAGATTAACTACAGAGCACAAAAGCTTTTTGATATTTTGAGATTAATATTGTAGAAAAATGACTGTATCCTATTTTGATGTGGTCAATTGAAAACTGTTAAAAAGAAAATATATTTCTAACTTTTTCTTCTCCATAGCTGAACCTCATTTGGCCATCCCATCTCTTTAGATTTCACAATGACCACCGGAAGCATTCCCAAAAGATCCATTAGTTATACTTATTGATTGTTTCTTTTAATTACAAATGTTAAGAGAAATAGTTGCTTGCTATGTAAAACATGACCTGGCTGCCTGAGTAGTCATACTGGGTGGAGGGACCTAGAGCGCTCTCTCTCCCCCACCAGTGTCTCTGAGGCGAGTTTCTGTCTGGTTTTGTATTAAATGTCCAGCAGTCACAGTAGAGTGACTTACAGCTTTGCTCTGGTTTAACCTCTTTCACTGTGGAGGGACATGCAGCCTGTAAATCCAGAAAAACTTCCCCAACACCAACTGCAGAGACATGATGGTCAGCTGAGTCTCTGGTGGGTCTTGTTGGTTGGTGGAGGGTTTCTGTGGTTCTTAGCTCAGAACAAACTGTTCCAGGTGGTGACACAAAACGCTGACTAGACTAAGATCTGGTTTCTGTGTGGATCATTTTTGATCAGCTGCCTTAAACCACCCTGTTTTATCCCACACTGCACACTTCACTCTGACTCTAATGTGGCTTCAATATACATCTTCCCTTCAGCTTGTCTGCTGTCAGTCCTGAAAATTTTGCACTTTTTGAATTAAACAGGGGGAACTAACCTAACTGACGACCCACACGACGAAAAATATTCAATTTTATCAAAAAAGAAACTCATTTCACCTACTTTGTTTTGTTTAGGTTGATAGTGAAACATCACTATCAGTCGACTCCATTCATGACAGCCTTTATACGCTTTGATATCAACTTATATGTATTGATTTATAATAAAAATAAATTCAAAAACACTCCGTGCATCAAGAGCAGCTTTCTAACGTCGCTGCTAGCTATGAAGGATAACATACAGTTTGAAAGTGGGTAAATTATTGGTTCATAAACCCATACAGTCTTGCACAAAGGTGAGGCTAGCTCACGTTAGCACGCTCACTCTCACACACTCACCGACAGCCACTCTCGGTCTCGCGACGTTGTTCACCCCGACTTTCTGTTCCGCCCGGAGCAGCGAGGACAGCACGGTGTCCAGCCGGTCATCCAGCACTGCATGCTGGGGTGGCCTGAACCACAGGGCTAAAAGAACCACAACCAGGGACACAACGGGCCCATATTTTATCCACGACACACTGCCTCCCCCTTCCATCGCACTGCAACCGGCCAGCTACGAGAGGAGGGAGCTTCTTACACTGACTGCTGCAACAACGAGCGAGAGAGCGGTGACTGGTCCGTTTGGTTTGTGAGCCGAGGTGTCCCGGATGTTATTTAAACGAACTATCAGGCGCTAAATCTTTTTAGATTCAAACGACACCATAATATTTTATATCAATCTTTTGAATGAGCAATTTCTGAGATCTTTTATTAAACACTGCTCCTTCTGAAAGTGATGTTTTAAACGAAAGCTGAAACAAGTAATAAACGAGCAACTTAGTTTACTATGAAGGGGGAGTGTTTGTTTACTGACAGCAAGGCGGAAGTGGCGGAGGTAGATCCTCCTGAGAACCAAGAAAAAAAAGTATCTTTTTTTGTCTATCTTTTGTGATTTCCAGGCTCTTTGAAGATAAAACAACAACGTAGACTTTTATAAAAAATATATTTTTAGTTTAGATTTTACAGCATGTCCACTGTAGTGGACAACAGGACGATTTTACTGCAAAAAACAGTGATCAAAATAGGATGTCATCAAAACAAAAATGATTAATTTTCTGATCAAACTCTCTAAAATTAAACATTTGACCTGTAACTTTTGTTGGACTGCTGAACAGATTTTCTGTATTGACTGTCATCACTGTATTAGGAAGTATATTGAATTTGACTTGAGTTTTCACAGGCATTGGGGTCCTCTTAAAAATCAGGAGGCCTAGGCAGCGCAGATTTAAATGTGCTAGCTCCCCCTCTTTTCTTCATTTCTTACATTTTAAGTTATGGTACTCCAGGAAGCAGTTTCTCTTCTTTGTTATGCAGAGGAACATCTTGCAATGGATGCATCGCATGTATGTTTTGCCTTTGCAACCTTTGGTTTAGACACCTTTGCATGGTTGCAGTCTGCCTTCTCTGGCAGGTGCCTAGCCCCATGACACTGCTATCGTGGCATGTATCAGAGATAGACAAGAAGCTGAATACAGAGATCTGATAAGAGGCTCCAGTGACTGGAGTCACAAAAACTGCCTCCTACTCAACACCTCAAAGACAAAGGAGATGGTCATAGACCTCTGCAGATCCAAACCCCCTCTTCAGCCGTGAACACCTGTGGAGTGGACATCGAAGTGGTGACATTGTATAAATATCTAGGTTTTCCTGTATGTAGGAAGGTGGAGACTATTCTAAAGAACATGGTCATCCACTTCATAACACCTTGATGGACCAAAGGGCAGCTCCTCTCTTTTTGCTGCAGGACAGAAAGATTCAAATCCAGGAACTGTTCAGTGTCTTTAGCTGAGCAGTTTAGCACTCCAGTGTCAGACCTGTACTGAATCAAAGAATTTGTGATGGCAACATTAAAGAAATGAGCCATTAGAAGATTAACATGTGTTTACAGAGGTCACCAAATACCACAATTTGGTCATAAATTGGATAGGAATTGCTTTAGGGAGTTTGCTTCCCAAGAATTTTTTTCATTTTGACACATTTATAGCTTAAAAATGAAATAAAATAATAATGACAAGGCGGACTGTGAATATTACAGGCTTAAAGGAAAAGTGACCTTGCTTTAATATTTCAAGTTTGCTCATATGGATCATTTCATGACTACATGTACACTGAAAGGTAGAAGAAAGGTAGAGACCAAATAATTTTAGCGCATGAGCTACAAGTCTTAGTTTTACTTCCTGCAACTGACTCACATTAACACAAGCCAACTGCAATTTTTTGTATCCAATAACGCAAAATATCAGTAATTAATCTTCAATAAAACATCATATGAAAGCAATGGTTTTATTTATTTTGACAACAGTAATATTCTAATACAATTAATCAACACAGGCAGACAAGGAAAACATTCAATTTCAACCATATAAAAAAAAAACAAAAAAAAACTACATTTATAAACACTCATAGGCACCAATTACAGTGATAACTTCAAAGCATCACAGAATGGCATATGTGGCATGAGACATAAGTGGATGACAAGTAACCAAAGCGGTGAATCTTAATTACATCAATTGCTGCCAACTTTAGAAAAGTCAATTTTTTTTAAACTATGACCTGTTTTGCTCCTGGATGGATGTTTCCAGAAAAAAACTTTGACTGACCTTATTAAAAAAAAAGATGAGGGAAAAAAAAGACCTCATCAGTGCATTCACAGAAAGATATTACCTTCAAATTAAAAAGGTGATTTCAGCTAAGGTAAGGTATATGTTGTCATAATCCACTTAAAGGAATCTACGTAACTCTTGAATTTGTCCCATTTTTTCACTTGCGAAAACCACATGCTGTTTGTGTGTGAGTAATTGATCAGAAGGCTTTAACTACAGGGGCTAAAGTTGAACGCAGTCTGAGTTCCAGAGCAGCAAGTGGAGTGTGTCGCCCTCTGGTGGTTAAGTGATTGACATTCAAGCTCAGAACCTGAAAGAAAAACAGTAAAAAAGGTACTGCTTCATTAAAGCTACATCCACATGTATGAAAACTGAGGTATTTACAAGCTACTATGGTGGTCAACAGTCCATATGGATCTGCGAGGGGGCAATGCAAAAATACACATCCAAGCATTCCAGTCTAGTTCATGAATTTACTAGCTTCACATTCACAAATCTGATGTGTAAACAGCCAGTACCTCACAGTCTTATCATACTCTCATTACATGCGTTTTGCCGTCTTACCTTGGCATTTATTTGGGGATCCCAGCCACAATCTCGGACTCAATACCACAGTGATCTGATCCACGCAGGAATTTAAAGTACCCTAAGGACCAAAACAGTTCACAATGAGTACACTTGTTAAATTAAAAAAACAAGCCTGGGGGGGACTGGGATTTTTTTAAATTAATTTTTGGAGGGATGGTTTTCAGACAGGGCAGACTGTAATGTTGAAACTACACTGAGACATAATGTGCATCTCCACTCACCATTATCACCCCAGTCAGTGTTCCAGGAGTTTGCACAAAGCCAGTAGGGAACACCGTCCTCAACTCCCCAGCCCAGGATCTTGATGGCGTGACCACCCACAGGGGACCCAGACACATGCTGATACACACCTGAAGAGGAGGTGGAGAAAGAGAAAAAAAAAAAAAAGGGAGAGAGAGAAAGGGGGGTGTTAAGGTCAAGTGCACCAGAGGACAAAAACAACATTTTACAGAACACCAAGCAAACATTCAAAATCAGCATTTACTCCGTGCTCAGCACATTGTGAGTGTACCAGTGTTCAGTGAGGTGAGGTGAGTGCACTGTGTGTTCTTACCAGACTTGTACAGCACAAAGTCTTCATATACTGTGAAAGCTCCCTCTACAGGGCCATTCTTAAGGATCTCAGACTGGATCTGCTCCTCATCTGACAGCACGCTGTAAGATGTTTTACCTGAAACGAACTTTGAGTCAGGATCCTGGGGTACTTGTGTGCATTTAGTCAAGTTACACTCACCAATATTTGGATTAAACCTGTTCAAGTACATAAACCTACTTTTTGTGGCACAAACATGGGATTAAAGGGGTAACGACATGACAAACACTTGGATTAACAGCTTTTCTGTGTCAAGAGTTTCATGTTACCCATTTACTGCAAAGTTTAGAGTTGTTCTTCCCTTGCTGGAGAAAAGATTGTTTGTACTGACTACAGAGGACAGATTGACAATAAGACTAGCTGAGTGCAAACACTTGAACAATGGAAATATGTTTATATATTTTTAAAACATGCTTCACAAGTCTAAATTTATAAAAACAGCCACTCAAACAGCCCCCCCCCCCCCAATATTAAACTCATGATCATGCCAGACACCAACATATTTTTACAGTCACAGCTGGCAAGTATTAAACGTATGAGCGATCTTAACATGATTGCAATAGAGCAATTGTTATGCAACTAGAACTTTCCTCAGCCACTCACCATAGTGCTTGTCCTCTTTGTAGCTGGGAGTGTATCCAGCTTCACACTTGTAAACACACTGTGGTGTGTCCCCACCCTCTCCTGTGCAGGGCGGTCTACTGCCATTCACATGGTGCTCACAGGGGGCAATGGTGTAGGGGCGACAACCTGCAGACACACAATTTAGACTTATAGACAACATAGATCCGTCTACAACACCACTGCTGCAGGCTCACAAAACTCACCGATATGGGAATCATAGAGTCCTCCAGAGACCAGGCCATCTTTGGTCCAGAAGTTCCAGGCAGCTGAAGGGTAGCCTCCATTACATCTAAAATTTTAACAACATTTGAGTTTTTACTACCTTCAGACAACCACTATGCAAATTCTGGAGGTGTAGAGTCTTACTCAAAAGACATGATACATCAGCACCTCTTATAAGTTAAGCTCTGCCACAGATACTAAGTTTGCTAATGGTATGAGACCCTTATAAAATAAAGCATTGTGAAACTCAAACACTATAGTTCACTCCCAAGGTATGAACTCAAGTAAAGACACTTCTTTACGCATGTGCCTCTTACCCCATGCCACAGCTTTCACAGCAGGTCAGCAGATCCTCTGAAGAGATCTCCACACTGACCTTGGCATTGCTGTGGATACACACACGGTCAGAGATGGCCTCTGCAGCACCAAATGCCTGCAAGCAGAAGAACAAAATTACATCATACATGCAAATTGAAGTTTCAGACAACTTCATTCTCTAGAGAGGCACTCTAAGAATCAAGGGCGTCACGGTTAAGAGGACAAAGTTTTTTGAAGCACATTTGCAATGCTGGGCCAAGTCAAATTTGGTGTGATCCTTCAACATATTTAAAACAAATTAAATTCACAGCAATGGAAAAATTCTGTATCTAAAGATTTGATCATGTCCTCAGTAAAATATGGAAATGTAGTAATGTAGCAGCAGGTCTTTTTCTCACCCAGCAGGATCCACAAGAGCCCTGGTCTCTGATCTCTTTAATAGTGGGACAATTGGGCCACTGCTCTCTGGCATCAAAATTTTTAGGCAGCTTCACATCTCCAACATACTGAACCCTGTAGAGGAAACAATAAGAGAAGTGCTGCTGTGTTCCGACTCAACGCCAATGTCGACAGACTCAATGCACTGTTTCCTGTTTTCAGTAGATGTCTGTGGCATCAATTTAAAAAAAAATAAAAAATCCCCACATTTTTAAATAAATAAAACAATACTCAGTGCATATTTATTTTTATATCTATTATAGTGTATCACAGTATCGACACTCACATGACAGGCAGTTTAGGTCCTTTCAGCATTGTACCACAGAGTCTCTGGACATAGCTGTAGTCGACATTGTGGAAGTTGTGACCGGCCTGCAGAAGAAGAGGAACATTTGCTCAAACAGAACCAGATTTACTCACAAAAAAAATATCATATTCATACAAATTAAGTGAACTGACCTTCCAGGTAGTGTTGATCTTGTTGATATAGTTGACCATCTCACTGGACAGGGGCTTGAGGTGGGGTCTGGCCAGGCTCACTGACAAGCTGGCAGCCAATAAGAGGAAGGCTGCACGCCACATTTTGTCTGTAAAATATCAAATGGAGAGGACAAATTCATGATAATTAACATCTTTAATTATATGTGAGCTATGATCAGTCAAGAAGTTCATACAGTCCTTATTAGTGCTGGGCGATAGGACGATACATATCGTGGGCACGATAGAAAATGTCTATCGTGCCATTTTTATTTTTATCGTTTCGGGCGATAGGCTGTATTTTATCCATAGGGCTTGTGCCATCAGATGATTCATAGTAACAACAACAATAATTGCACATTCAGTAAGTGTATTTGGTGTCGAACGGGAAAGAAAACAATATTTTCTTACAAAGAAAAGGATGCGTTGACATGTAGGCTTGCATTTCTCTTTCGATTTTGCGACATGGCGCCGCTTTACGTGCCCTCTTCGTGTCCAGCGTCTCCCGCCGTTGCGGGTTACCTGGGTTACACACGTGAGGGGATCATTGTAAGCAGTGCTTAATTTGTGCCGGAGCAAGTCGGAGCGCGATCCGGGACCTCTTTTGATCGGATCCGGGACCTTTTTCAGCCGCTCCGGCACCTGTTTCATCTGCTCCGGGACCTTCCCTGTAGAGGATGACATTTTTCGGGAATTCCCGTGGGTCACGTGATTCCCGCGGGAATCCCACGGGATGGGAGTCCTTTTTTAATTAATCCCTTGATCGGGACGGGACGGGGAAAAAGGCAACGGGAGTGGGCAGGAGCGGGAACAACATTAAAAGATGATCATTTTCAGCCGTGTTTAACAACCAGCTGAACAGGTGCGTCCATTTTTGTAGTCATCTCTCAGTGAGAGCCAACACTCTTGACCGCGCTAGCAACACAAAAGAACTACAACAGTGGTTTGACTTCCTGTCAGCTGGGAGCGCGGCTGCGCATTTGTACCCTTCAAGCCAGCAGCGAGGAAACGTAATTTTGTGACATTCTGTAGTTTTTCAATCATTTCTGGAGTCGTGGCGAATCAAATCACCTTACCTGTTCGCCCCTGATAGGCGAATAAAGCGCTCGGATTCATGCTCGGGTCTTCCTACGTGCTTCAAGAGTAAAGTAAACAATGATGGAGGCAGAGAGCAGCTTTGGAGGAGAAACATCTAGCAGTGTGAACAACCTCTTCAAAAGAGCCCTAAAGACCTACCTTTTTAATATAGCCTTTGGTTAACTTTCCTCTATGCTTTTACTACCTTGCCTCTTACATTGCAACTCTATATTTTTTATTTTTTTTAATTCTTTTTTTTTATGCCAATCTGTGACTGTCATTCTATTGCTTTTTTGTTGTTGCTGCTCTTTTTTTACTGTGTACTGTAGCACTTTTAGATTTTTGTAAATGTAAAGTGCATTACAAATTAAATTTATTATTATTATTATTATTATTATTATTATTATTATTATTATTATTATGGAGTGCTTTGGCTCACACTATCGGCGTTTTCTGTGAGTGTTGCATAACTTTGGGTGAGCACAGACATGAACGCACTTCGGCCACGTATTTATTTATTCATTTTTCTAGTTTTAAGTGCTGGTCTTGTACTGGTACTGTACTAGTGCAGCTGTATACACTTAAATTTTTCATAGAACTGAAAGCATACCATAGCTATATCGTGATATATATCGTTATCGTGATATAAAATGATCCATATCGTGATATACATTTTTTTCCATATCGCCCAGCACTAGTCCTTATAATACATGAAAAAAATAAAATGCATCAAGGTTTTAGATCCACAATATAAACACTGAACTCATTACTAAAACAAACTCCAACTCTTACTCCATATCACCTCCAAGTATATCGTGAATTTAACTTCTACTGATGACAGCTGACATAATAATATGGTTGGAATCTCTCTCATAACTAGACAAACAAGGCTGAGCTAGCACAGTTTAATGCCCCCACACAAGTTCTTCCACTCCTGAAAAACAGGCCAGTATCAAAAAATGTTCATTCCAGTCTGGAGAATGTAACACAGGTTAGATCTGTAAGTGGAACATGCACACTTGGTGTGTACAGAGTGGAGAAAAACCTCTTATCCTCAGTCATGCTCAAGAGAACTCATTTCATGCTCTGTCAACACACTGCATCAGCAGTTTTAGGTATTTAAAATAGTTGTATAGATTTTTGTTTGACATGCACAGAGAGAAGAAAAAAACAAAACAAAACAAAGTACTCAAGATGGGAAAATACACACAAGAAATCTTCTAAAAAGGAAAATGCGCTGGAGTAATCTAAACCAGCTTTCAGCTCCTGCCTTATCCTGAAGATAGGGCCAAACTTTCTTTAGGAGTGCGTGCTTTCAGAGGAAAACTGAGCAGGGATCAGTAGCTGGAGCCATTAGAGATCATAATGTAGCTATCAGATATATGAGGATGCCTGTGATAAGCAGGATGCTCAGAGTGAAGAAAAATCAATACCAGAGCAGACACTGTTCTTCCTCACAGGCTCAACTCAAAAGACTGATGGATAAAAAAATAAAACCCTGCAATACTCAATCATCAAGCCGGTCATTACACTGGCATGCCACTGACAATTCCTCTGAACAAGCAGCCACCCATGTTTGCCCCTGTAAAACCAGCCCACCTGTACAGACATGTCCTGTTTGTGGTTCAAAAAAACAGAAGAGAAACTACATAAACACACAGGGACTTTATCTGCAAGAGGGGACCTGCTTCAGAGAAACTGGTTTGTTAATCACATGATACAGAGGTTTGGGGAACATCATGAGTAAGAAGTACAGAGAGGAAGTGAGAGCAGAAAAGTTATTCCCTTAAATGACGTTAGAGCCCTTATGAATCACATGAGGTGAAAGTTTTAATTTCATATCTTATGAAGGTTCCTGTTTTTAGTTTAACAACTATTTTAACAGCCTCATCATATCTAGCCTAATGTTGACAAAAGGTGACACTCTAGACTTCTTCAGCCAAGCATTAAATGTGAAGTTCTTAAACAGTCATGAAATTTTTCCAAGTTGTAAAATCTATTTGGAGGTAAATTATACTGTCTTTTGTTTTCAGTTCCACAATCTCAGGGGAAGAAAAGCTGCAACAATGATTCTGATGTGATTTGGGGAAGTGAGACATAATTTTGCTGACCTGCAACTTCTCTCCCTCAAAGAAATCAGTCTTATGTCAATAACTTTCCACACAGCAGTCACGTCAACACCTTAAAAGAACTCACTAACATGCTGAGTCAGAGTGGACGGTTCTGAGGTCTCTGTTCGGCAGTTCTGTTGCATCTCTGACAGGAAAATAACCCTGCTTTCAGTTCATTGACTGGTTACTTCTAATGCTAACAACACTTACTGAAGTGTATCTATAGGCTATGAGGCTGTGACATTTTCCCCCAGTGTGGGAGGTTTAACAAAGACAGAAATAGGAGAAACCACAGACACATGATGGTCTCTCTGTTTAAGCACAAGTTCATCACCAACACCTTGATACTACAAACCACTAACTTTGTAAAGAAAGGCTTTGAGGAAACATTTGAGTAAAAATAAAACGATAAATTCTTTAAAACGTTGCTTCTAATGTAATCTATTTGCTTTCTAAACCAAACCTTGAGGCATGGAGGTACTTTCCAACAAGAACAGTCTGTCTTCTCTGAACAAACAAACAAATTAAATACCTTTCAGCTTACATTACACAGACCAGTAAGTCTAACATGATTATCTTCTTTGTTGTCATTTATATTTTTCCTTGAGACCAAGTAACAAATGCTCCTGCTACTTCCTCCATGTCTTCACTGAAGGAGTCTGAACTGTCTTTACTGTCATTTAAACCTCCTGCTCTAATCCTCTGCTGTATTACAGACATATAAAGCAGATCTGGACCCCTCTCTTTAGTCTAGTGTCACAGAGGACAGGGTGGTCACCCCCAGCTCTGAAAGAAAAACTACTTTCACTTTCCTTTCTCCCGAATATCATCCAAGTACAGGAAAGCTCAATATATTAAATAACATGTTCATCTTTACTTCAGGTTTTGAGTTTCTCTTTTCAAAAAGGAGCTGCTTTTCAGAACAGGTTTAATTTCTCACTTAGAAGTGAGCTTACCATCAACTCATCAGATATAGGTGTGTGTGTGTGTGTGTGTGTGTGTGTGTGTGTGTGTGTGTGTGTGTGTGTGTGTGTGTGTGTGTGTGTGTGTGTGTGTGTGTGTGTGTGTTCAGATAATCAGCCCCACCTGCTTTTGAACGGTTACTTTATCACCTGTGACCATGGGGCTAAAAATAGGTCATATAGTCAAAAACAAACACACCCAAATAAACAACGGACTATATAACTTCAATTTGACCGCGAAAAATATCCAACAAAAGCGTAAAATATTAACATAGCAACACGTTTATGTATCAAACTTGCAGCTTTAAAAACAAAGTACTAAACATTAAGCTAGCTTGACTGCTAACAGCAAAGTGAACATCTTCAATAATTGAGGACAAACCTCTGAAAAGTAACAAAGTTACCTGTAGCAGGCGTGTAAGCTTTTAGGTGTTAAATTCAGTAAATCTTCAGCTCCAGATTTCCCCTCTCAGTCTGTCCGTCACTGACAAACAAAGTGTGTGACTGTGAAATGATTCCCCACCTCATTTATCCCTCACGGAACCACGTGAGTCGGTCACATGAATGCAGCTCATGTGATCAGCAGTCAGCGACACTATTCATTTTACTCACATCTATGGGAGTTAAAGGCTTCGATATCAGTGATGTGTCCAAGTTTACACATACATCAGTCATAACCTGCATAAAATGAGCTAAATCACACTTTTAAAGAATGCGAGGTGCAACGGGAAGTGTGGTGTCAAGCCTGCACTGCTTTGTCTAACCGCTAGGTGGTGCTGTAACTGAGTCCACTTTACCAACAGCTTCCTGACACATAAATGTTTGATATTTCGTTTGGGTTTCCAGTTCTCCTGTTGTCACCTTTCTCCCTCTCACTGTCACACATCACATCTCCACCCCCTGATTCTGTCTCTTTGCTCCATGTGCAAATGTTCTCCTCTTCTTATCTGCCCTGCAGCTCCAAGGCTTTCCCCTCCCACTTTATTGCTCTTACTTCCTTCTCTGGAATCTGCCCATCTTGTTTAATCAGACCTCTCACCTGACTACCCGCCATCTAACTGACTTGTTTGTGTTCCCAGTTGTTACTGCCTTAAGCTACGTCAGGGTAAATAATCTGCACTTGAATAGAGAAGAGAAAAATTCAGTCCAGGCAGAAGGACTGGCTTGGATGCCTGTGTGCATCTTTATCTAAGGCTTGCCACCTAAATGGTTACATTTCACAAAGATAGTGGCGACAACATGCATCATGCACAAAGGTTAAGTGTCATGTTGGAGTAAGAAACTGTTAAATGCTTTTAAATTTTGTTGTTGTTGTTTTTTCACACATGCAAAACTGGCCTGTCTTTTTATATTAAATTGGAGAGGTCCACATAGAAAAGACTTATTTACCCTTATCAGTTAAACCAGAAAGTCCAGTTCATGTTGATAAAAGAGGTTGACAGTTATTCAGTTAAAGAACACCGGCCAAGAACTCTGTTTGTCGTCATTATGTTGATAAATTAAAATACAAATATTTTTAGGGATGATTATATGCTTAACAGAAAGCATGATAACAGATATGTATGTAACATGAGGTGATAACGTAGTCTGGCTTTTCTGCTGTGTCGCACTGTGGATCACTGACCACGGAGAACATCCTGATTGTTTGGCTGTTTTCTCTTCCTTTAATCGGTCAGTCATCTGACTCTGAAAATGATGAGAAATGAAAAATACTGTGAGCACAGCACACCCACTTCAATCATTACCGGACGAGTTCCAAAAGAGTACATCCTCATTTCAAAGAAGTGATCAAAACAACCCTAAACTCTCATCTAACCAGGCACACTTAGCAAAATCAAATCCTCATTATTGTACGGACACAGTACAGCTTTTACTGCATGTAAAGGACACTGCTAGTTTGAAGAAATATGTTGAAATCCTTGTGCACTTGGTTTTTGTATATAAACTACACTAATCCTGTTTTCTTTTTTCCTAATTGGTCTATTCCCATTTTATATGGTGTATTTTTATTATGTTTTGGTTTCTTTTGAGGTCATATGCTGGTTGATATTACACTATACAAGATCTGCCTTTTTACTTTATCTACTCTCTATGTTTATAGTGTTTTAATTTTGAATTTCACAGTGGTCACAGCTATCTTTTTAAAAACTCATAAAAATATATGACCCCTTATGAATTAATGAATAAAAAGGATCATTAAATACCACCCAGCGCTCAGAGCTTTGATCATGATTAATGTCTTTATTTTGTCACATTAATAGCACATTTAATGACTCTCTATCACCAACCACAGCAGCTCTGTGGACGTCCTCGCAGAGATGAAGTGATGCACAATAAAGACAAACGCCGCCCGGTGACTCTGTGATGTTACACTCAATCAGCAAACTGATTGAAGTCTGTCAATTGAAAGTACGAATGTGAAACTTCAGCACAAAACCCTGGAACACTGCACCGTGGCAATCCACACATTTTACAACAGAAAGAATGACTGAACATAAAAGAAAAATTATATTAAAAAAATACAAAATGATAGAAATTGAGTTTCATACACATCTTGTTCACAAAGCAAAGCATATATTTCTAATACAAAGCAGCACACACACTGAAGCTGTCTCTCTACAAAGCAAAGCGCTGATTCAGGATGATCAAGCCAAGGCATCATTTGCAGTCTAAAGCTGTGCATGGATTTTTTTCTTTTAAATAAGTGCATCAAGATACATTTCATTTCCTAGCTTATTGCTCTTGCTTATACACACATTCAGGCATGTGTGTTAACTACTGTAATGTGTGTACATGTGATGTTACAGTGAGTGCTTTCTTTCTCTAGAGAGGTATATTTACAGCTACCTGGATGTCTGTGTGAGTGAGTTACATGCAGTGACTCTTTCATCGAACTGTGAGCAGGCCGTGAAATATGGATATCTGTTTGGATAAAGTTAGATACAGTGTTAAATTCCAATTTATACTCTAAAAGTGCTGCTTCTGTTTTATCACCAAACATGAACAGAGACCATTTAACAGTATATCACAGATATAGACCTTATTTTGTAGCTAGTTCTTCCATTTTAAAGAATAAAATTAAACATACATGAGAGTAAAAGAAAAACAGAGGTATGGTTTCAATGAGTTTTAACATATTGAAATAAAAATATCTATGATATAACACAACATATTACTGATGTTGATCAAACTCCCCACTCATAACAGCACATTCATTTTCATGAGACACTTCTCCTCTCCTCCCAGTTACACTCATTTCTGCAGCTAGATTTAAAGACATGTGTCAGACTGGGATATAAAGGTGCTCAGTATTATCGTTACATCTCCTCACAAAAAAAAAAGAAAATAAAGCTGGTCATTCACATGGACGGTGAGGTGGTGGGTTAATGTAAAGGAAATGTAAACACATATGAGGGAGTATTGGGCTTTACAGGACAACATCACAGCCCTTAATGGTTGTACCTTTACTTAGACTGTATTACAACTAGATTTTCCAAAGCCACTTTGAATGCTATCATTAGCCTGCATACTTATTAATCTTAAACTATTTATTCTCAACATTCAAAACTAAGGGGTTCCATAGCTCTTATAGTTTATGAAGCTTTTCTTTCTATTAAACCGGAGTATAATGTTTTTACATTCACTCTGTTTTATTCTAGGATTTCTGTTCACTGCAATTTAACTGAGTGTTTCCATCCTAAACCTCACATAAAACTGAACAATTGGGGCACATTTTCTGCTAAAAAAGAAATTATTCCCATTTAAAAAAAACAGCAAACCTCTGGCATTAGTTTTGCACAAACAACATTGGAAAACGCAAGTCAATCCTGCCATTGGTCACTAACTGAGGCTCAATCCCTGTTTGTATTTAAACAATACCACTGTGGGTGAGTGGAGGCTAACAATTCAAAATGATGCTTTATGCAGGTAGACTTGGTAGCAAACAAGCAAAATAACATTTTACCAATCAATAAATAGACACTGAGGTAGAACACACACCAGATTACACGTTTTAAACTTTTGGGCATTTCCTAAAAATACAAAAGGACACCAGTTCAGTAAAAAACAAACAAAAATGAATAAATAAAAACATAAGAAAAAAAAAAAGCTGATAACAGTCTAGCAAAACTTTATTCCAGGATGACCCTCAATCACCAACCTGATCGCAACAGCTCGTACAGACAGCAGCATCGATCAGTTTTTTGTCCATAAATATATAGATCATACCGTCTGTTATCATTCGCACTCTACCCTGATATGATCAACGGATACATGAGGAAATCAGACATGTTAAACCAAAGATTTCTGGAAACAAAACATTCACAGTATGTTTATCCTGCAGAAATATCCCACTTTTTAAACATCAATCTTTTATCACTAACATTGTCTGTTTTATTTATATTTTTTTACCTCCTCTGTTTTATTTTAACTATTTGTGCACTGGCTGGGCAGATCTTAATCTGATCATGCATCAGTAACCACTTTCAATGACAATAAAGTGTTTAAATTCAATTCAATTTTGTAGATTAGTTTTGTCTTAAACGGCCAAAAAACATGGATGTGCAACAAAGGGCTTCTGATTTTGGAAAGACTTGAATAATTTCTGCAGGTCATAAACAAACTTGTATCAATCACATTAAAAGTATGCGGTGACAAAAATAAAAAAATAAAGCAAATCAGAACTTCAAAACAGATAAATAAATAAAATTTGTGTTGTTATTTTAAAAATACCCTCTGCTTCTTTTTTAACAATCTGTAATGCTATAAAATTTCTTTGATAGTTCATGTTTTAATCATCTGCAGATTATCAAGCTATGACTACTCTATTGGCTAAAAAGAAACTTTTGCTGCTTCTGAGCTAAAGTGCTGACTGACTGAGATTATTGCAGTAATAATTAGCAAAGGAAAGTAAATCATTGAACATGTTTATCTCTCAAACCTTTGCTCTTTGTTGTTTGCTTATCTGATAGTTTCATGACATAAATACTGACATATGAATGAACAGACCTGACCACAAGCTGCTAATAGAGTTTCCATGTGTGAGTGTGTGTGTCAGTTGTGTGTGTAAACACTGACCACGTACTGTTGTTCTGAACACACATGAAATTTTGACTGATTGATATATGAGGTTAAATAAAAATCAGCAAAGTTTAACATTGTCTCAAGCAGTTAACAGTTTCCATTAAACAATATATTAGGTTATTTTTAATCTACTTTTTGACAGATTATTATTCCCACATTGTCACTCTAATCTGAGCAGTTTAAATGAGGAGACAGATGAGGGTGGAGGCTCAAGAGGAGCTTCTGCTCAGCTGCCTGCAGACAGCATGTGAGATTATTGTAAACAAGTTTGATTGCCTGCTTCACTCTGAAAATAGCTTCACTGAGAACCAGTTCTAATTGTAATAACATTGTCTTCAATCACATGATTGTTCATGCTTTGGTTTTTTAAATGCCTTCGTAATAATTATGTTAGCCTTGCAATTAATGCAATGCTTAAAATAAGATGGAGGCTTAAATTTTTCTGTTTAAGTTTTAAGTTATTTTTCAGGTGTATTTTTCTTCTTAATAAGAGTGATACCTCATATTTATTAGCACCCATCCTTGTTTAAGCCACCCAAATCGAATCTCTCTGAAAGTGACAATCTGTAGTGTAGTTTGTTTTCATCATACTGCCTGTAGAAAAGGGTTTGTAACCACTACATCCTCTGGTGGCCAGAGTTGGAAGCACATAGTCATGGATTCTATCTATCACACATAATTAGACAGACAGTTCCTGCAACCTGTAAACAGGAGCTTTATTTTAGCATTAAGAGGGGTCTAAGGTGCCTCTATTAAGGATTTTACTGACTCCTCACTGATAAACACAGATAAATATGTTTACTAGAACTGACATTAGAGATATCCAGTACTGAGCACATTTACCTGCAGTGGCATTTTACCACAGAGCTCCCGTTCATCCTTCATTTTGCAAACTTATTAGAAAACCTCCAACACCTCACCAAGCCCCTCTTAGAGAGTAAATGTAGGAATTCATGGGCATAATTTTCTGAAAAACTAAAAAAGGAAACAAAAATGTCCCCACCCAGTTGTTCCCTTCACCTCAGATCCCCGACTTTCTTATACCATCCTCTCTCTGCTGTCCACAAACTGCACTATCTGTTTGCGAGCGTGGGAGATGACCGGAGTGAGTGGAACGATGGGGGTACCAGGGGTCATAGCTCCAGGAGTCGTACCACCAGGAGTCAAAGCACCAGGAGTTGAGGCAGCCGGTGTAGAAGCTACAGGTGTAGAAGCTGCAGGTGTTGAAGCTGCAGATGCAGATCCGACAGGTGTAGAACCCACGGGTGTAGAAGCACTGGGGGTTCCTCCTGGGGTCGGACCTGGTGTCGTACCAGGAGTGGCAGGGATTATCACCACAGGTGCAGGGCTTGGACTTTCAGCTCCAGCTCGAGGCTCCAGTCGAGGGGTGGAGGTGATAAAACGGGCCTCCCTGATGCGGTAGGGACTTCTGTAGGTGGAGATGGGCGACAGCTCAGAGCCCCAGCCCAGGTAGCTCCCACTGGAGGGAGACTGTGCATCAGCGCTGAAGTACAGAGTGGTGCTGGACTCTCCAGGGATCGTTGGTTTCTTCTCAGGGGAACCAATCAGAAGAGGGGATCGCCGCTCTGGTGACCAGCCGGGGGTCTTGATGTCCAAAGAGCACACAGAGGACGAGGCTTCGGTCAGTGTCGCTGCCTGGCTGTCGATGTGCCGAAGGCTTCCTGGCCTTGGAGATGATGGTGTTGGTGAGCCGTAAGCAGCACTCTGAAAGTCCTCATCACCTTTAGATATACAATATCAATGAATTACAAACGTTGAATTGTGGTTAATTTCTGTAAAGCCTGACACAAACGTTCAATAGGAAAAAAAGCAGATCTGTAGAATTGCTGCTGCAAGAACAGTTCCAGTAAAGCCGCATCATATCTGTTAAAATCAATCAACCTTTCACATGATTACTTGTATGTGAAGGAGGTCTCTTATAAAAATAACCCTCAGAAAATCGTCACCTGACTGCGATTCTTTTCAGCTCTAAAGACCTTTACACCCTCAGTGCTCCGGTTTTCCAGCCTGCAGACTTACTGTTGTGGTTTATGCCTGCTGCCAAAAACAGCACAGTTTGCTACCTGCTAAGAACAAATCACAAGGCAGCCAGAGCTAGCTAGCCACTGGCTGAGGCCCATAGTGAGGAATTCAGTGGCTTAAAAGCAAATACTTCCCTTGGTAGTGGAAAACAATAACAGCGCTGTGAGAGTGAATATGAGGCTGATGTTAGTGCAGCTGGCAGGAACATGACTGCAGAAATGTGGTATAATTGTAAGTCTCTATTTTATGGCAGCAGAGCTATATATTGACATCCATATAACACCATAGCATATGTATGAACCATTTATAAAAAAAACATAAAACCATACAATACATGTGTCTATATTATACTCTTGACCATACCACAATATCACTGCCAGTACATACCATACCATAAAACCATACCATACGATTCCATACCATACCACACCTAACTGTACCATACCACACATACAGTAATACTAGGACTGAGGTTCGAAAACCACTTGCTTGGTGAGACTGACAGCTTCCCGGTGATAATCTCTGTGGGTTTCCTTAAAAACCCTCCAAAGCTGAGGTAATCTGTGGTGATTTATGAATCAAATTTCAAATCAAATCAAATTCGAATCAAATTTTGTGACATGGTGTCATTTCTGTTGTTAGCTGACTGCTCTTTATTTTGGTTAGTAGACAAGTCAAGCAGTATCTGCACTCAGCTGACTTTTGAAGGCTCAGTGAGAAGCCAGAATCCCCATCTCAGCAGACCTGTGTGGGTAATAAAACTCACAATAAAAACTATTTTGATGGAACAGTAAACTCTCAAAGGCGGACTTTCCTCCACATGTACCATACCAGATCTCTTAAGGTTCATATACTGGATGGTGGCCATCAAAATGCCACACTCAAGATGTTGGAACCTAAGTGTGTAGAAGTGTACATTTGTTTCAAGTGTGTGTGCTCCAGCAGGGTTTGCTGATCATCAAGCATCAAACCTTTTTCTTCTGACAGTGGAGCGCTGGACTCGTCTTCTGCAGTCTCTTCAGGAATGACCTCCTGGAAGGGGACGATCTCTGGAAACCTCCTCATGTCCTGGATCGTTGTAGGGGGAGCTTTCCTGACTGGTCGCGCTATCACGGTGCTTGGAGCTGGCTGTGGAGGCTGGATCACCTCTCTCACCTAAGGACAAGATGACGGTCAGCTCAGTCTCAGACTGCAGACACACACACACTGTATATACACAACTTTATAGCAAAGCCTTCATAAACAAAGATCGTGCTGCATTGAATTTATTTGTGAAGCAATTCTTAAAGCACTTGATAGAGCTTCTAAAAGCAATACACTACAGCTTGAAGTCAGACAGCCCGAACTAAGTTTAAAAGTGTGCAAATCTGTCAAAAATCGGTGTATGTTCTCCTCAAAACAAGTTTGTCTCCTTTTTGAGTCCACAACAGCTTTTCTTAAAAATGTGCTGCATTCTTCATTTGAAACATTTGCCTATGGAGCCTGGGTCACCTGTGGGGGAGCTGGTTGTGGAGCTGGTTGAGGAACTGGAGCTGGCTGTGAGATCCGAGGAGCAGGTGGTTGAATAGGTGGAATCTGACAAATGACAGCAGAGATACCAGTGAGAAGATACGTCATCCAAACAGGTCATTGAACCAATAAAACTCAACAAACCTGAGGGACACGGATCTCATCAGGTGAGTGGACCTCTTCAGTCAGACCCATCAGTCCCGCCAGACCCCCCTCACCGTATGCAGACCAGATACTTGCTACATTGCCTGTCTTCAGGGCCAAACGAATCAGTAACCAATGGTGATGCTTCCAGCCCTCCCATTGGATAGGGAGGTCCATGAGGGTCCCGCCCCCTAGTTAGATAAGACCATAGTAATCGTTATGATAGATAGATAGATAGATAGATCAATAGATAGATAGATAGGTTGATTGATTAATGTAAACAGACCTGACAATGTTGTTTGGCGATGAAAAGAGGGTGTGCCTTTCTCCTCCAAAGACAGTGTAGATCCACGCTCCATACAAGCTCCACCTATTCCCCTGTGACGAATACTCTGGAAAATCTCAAAGGACTTTGGGTGGAGGAAGCGATAGTACAGCACCAATGCTATCACACCTGGAGGGATTTGGAGAAACAGAGAGAGTGTGACAAGAGAAAATGTTGTGAAAAAAACAAAAAGAACTAATACCAACTTTTTCTCAGATGTCATGTGCTGTTGGTGTGACGTTGTCTGTGATGAGTTGTATGGGTTTTGCCATCCCACCATCTCCCATACAACTCATCACAGATGACCTCACACCAACAGCATGTGACACCTCTGATGAAGGCTGCAGAAGCAAGGTAGCTGAAACTTGTCAGGTACAAACATTTTTACCTTTCTGGCCTTTATAGACGAACCGTTTTAAAAATGTATCATCAGCAGGCCAAATGAACGTCTTCAGTATATCACTGGAACATATCTTATAAACTGCATGTCACGAATCATTCTCAGAGACAATTAACCCAAACACTGCTAGTATGTTCTTGTATGTTTGACTGTGGAAATAAATGAGAAAAACTCCAACAGGAGACTTTTTCTATAGATGATAAAAATCCTGTTCTTTGAATCAGCTCACAGGTGTATTAGCTTGACAATATCACATTTACGCCATAAAGATAAGATGTAATAAGAAACAGACACACAGTAGGGCTTATTATGAGTCCATGTCTGTCAACGTGGCAATATCTATGGATACAGATGTTCTGCTAATATAACGGTGCACGTCTAAGTAAGACAAATGACAGGAGGAGACAAAAGATATGGAGGTGGGTAAATACATTAGAAAATTAACCGATAGCCTGCCATCTCAATACATGCGCATTACATATGAACAATTTCCACGCAAAGGTTTCTCACCAATCAGGAAGCTACAGAAGATTGCGGCTGGGATCCCAACAGTATCCCAAGATATCATGGTGAACAACCAGGAGGAGGCCAGCAGAAGAAAAGCGTTCTCTAAAAACATTACCTACAGAAGAAAATATTCAGTGGTTTGACTGAACATCTCAAAATCTGTCTTAATTTAATTAATCAGAATTAAATGTTGTGTGTCTGTTATATTTCATTGTCAAAACATCCGTGAACTTTCCAATAACACACATACATACCAGGTAGAAGCCAGCCATGCGGTATCTGGATTGACCGTACTTCACATTCAGGAAAAGAAAAACGTGAATGGCTCCCAGGACCAGGTTGAAGATTCTCCATCGGTTTGTTGATCGTATGATGTCAGTCTGCTGAGACACCATCCAGAAAGTTGCCCCCAGCCAGTGCACACCTAACCAGATTCACATACAACAAATCCAATTAACAACTGTTCTTGCAAACAGCAACATTTTCAACAACAGAAAAAGATGTTTTAGACAAAAAAAATACCCTGTTCTTACCATGTCCAATCATAGACTGACGGTATGTCTGATCATTTAAAGCTCTGAGGTTAAGCCTGTGCATGTGGACTCACCAATGACTCCCAGGATCCATTGTTTGAAGATGCGTGTGAAGAGCATCAGAACTGCAAGTCGAGATCCCAACATTGCAACCTGTAGACAGAAAAATAAACCTGTTACACAAACAAAACTACAGCAGCTGCAGACAGCTGACATATGATTGAACTGATTAGTGTTGCATTCGAGGGGGAAGACTATCTAAATGCACTCACCCTCCACACCAGTCGACAGAGGATGGCAGCAGGAGTCATTTGCAGGTGTCCTGGTCTGATGAGCGAACAGGCTCGGGCATAGAGGACCAGAGCCCAGGCCAGAGATAACAAACAGACCGCAAAACACACTGACGCTGAAGAGGGAAGAGAAGACATGTCAGCATCTTGAACAGGAGGGAGGCGATGGCCAATTGGTCAGATTTATATCTGCATTTATAGCTTTGTTTGGGCCAATTGGGGATCGATACAGAGAACTTTCTAATATCTTCCTACACATATTGGCTGTTATGGTGTTCATTTAGAGCTTTTTCTCTTTTTCCGCCCACTTGGAAAGTTTTGGCAGCCTTCCGCCATGAAAGTTGTGTAAGTAAATGACATGCATAACACGTTTCAATTAATTTGCTAGAAAACACACAAAATTCTGTGTGCCATTTCAGTCTTCATCACTCTCAAACACATATTAGATTTCTCCTTACCTGGAGACTTGATTCCTATGTCAGTACAGATGAGCACATATGTCTGCAGCAGAGTCTCAGGCAGGGTGACCACTAATGCCTCAAACAGGCGTAATGCAGACACATCCGCCTGCTGCATGATCTCACCATACACATCCTCATCCTGCAGACGCATACACTCCCACAGCCTGAGAAGGAAGAGATGAAGAATAAAAGCCATTATCATGACCACTATCAGACCAGTACTTTGCAAGACTTGAACTGTTATTGCCTCCAACCCAACCAGCACTCCATAATTGCCATTAGAGATGGTTTGGGCATCACTGATATTGATCATTCATCAGTAAAACAAAGCATATACCCTCTCTTTTGCTTTCCACACACATAAAGCCAGCTCACCTTTTGAAGATACCCAGGTGCAGTATGTGTGTCCAAGTGAGAGACTTTCGGCGGATGCGTCCATCTGAGAGGTACCATATGTAACTGAGCCACTGAGCACCCCAACCTTAGACACCCAGAGGGAAAAGAATGGATATCAATCTGCAGTCAATCAACGTTTTTATCTATATTATCAGTTTTCACTGGCGCTCACTCACCTGGCAGCAGGAACAGTGCAGTGAAGATAGAAAGGTAGGCATAGCAGTAGTTGTGACCCACCCACAGATAGTACACAAAGCAGTAGATAACTGGGGGAAGAATTCAAGAATTCATGTTATATAGCTGAAATTCACTTGAACTTTTTCTTTGAACATTTTACATTACTGATTCACCATTTTTTCCATTAGAAATACACTTTATGGTTTTTCAAATACTTTACTCCGTAGCTAATTGAATTGGCTTACTGATGCATTTGTATTGATAAAAAAGGGTTTTATTTGCTGACTTAACTCTGACAGAAAACGTCCTTGTGTATTTTTAAGGTACTTCTACTTTTACAACTGTATTCGCATGTAAGTCTTTTGCTTATGGCTTGAATGATAAGACCTTTATTTGTAGTAACATTTTGGTACTGAAGTAACATCTTTTCGAGCTTATTTGGGCATTTTGTCTGTGCACACAATACAATGAGAATCAAGATTAAAGAATCCCCAAAATGACATGCACATAGTGTAAATTAGCAGCAGTCTGGGTGTATTTCTATGACACTGAAAGCTGTAGTGTTTACACTGGTAGTAACCTTGAGTGGCTGATGGCCAAAAGTGTATGTGTTTGTATGTGTATTTTGTTTGTGTCCACACTTTTTCATATGACCTCTACTCTTCACTCCATCCCAGCAGCCTGGTTTTATTGACAACTGTCTCCGCTTTCCCCCCTGCTTTCACTCTTCAGATCACCAGACTGTCTGAGGCCCTGCAGCTCTGCCTCTCTCTCTCCCTCCATCCATCTGTAATCTGAACCGTTAGAGCTGCTAAACGGGCGGGCTGTCCGGGCAGACTAGGCCCCCATCCATCCCGGGGTACGCCCATCCCCTCGTCCATTCATGTACCTCCAAAAAAAGAGCGCGCTGAAATATGACAACATGGCTCCCCTTTGGTTTTTCCAAGAGGAAACCTCGCACAGAAGCTGAAATGATGCAGTTTGAAAGATTAAAAACTCTTGCATGAGTCTGCAGTTTTGCTGCATACCAGATTTCATAACGTGCAGCGGGTAAAAATAGGAGAAAGGCGCAGCAGTACTGACTGCAGACTCTGGTCTGGCTCTATTATTCATGACAACACACCAGCAGACAGCTCATATAGTGGAAACAAATGTAAACTTTCTATGAAGGTCTGTATTTGGTCACTGCAGATTTTTTCACGGACCACAGTGACATCAAATAACCTCCTGACTCATTTGACTATGTCTGTACCCCACCAACACACACACTGCCCACAAGGCACGCGCACACATGCACGCTCACGCCAATAAAGTAAAATAACCACAGAGCGCACGAGGACATACCAGCACATCATGATCATAACTACTGTTAGTGACACCCGGTTGTCCTAAGTGTATGCGGGATGTGTGTGCGCGTGAATGTGTGTGTAGGTGTCCCAGGTAGGACTCACTTGCCGTCCTCTCCGCAACGAGGAGAAATGCGGTAAAGATGAAGACGCATAATTGGCAGCACGGCATGCACGCGCCCCCGTTGCTCGGAGTCGCAGAGTAGTCTCTCATGGCGGATTTCCAACCTGAACTGTCAAGTTGACTGTGATACCGGAGGGTTAGTTTGTAGGCCGGGTTACTCCTGGTCCTGGGCGGATGGGAGTCGGTTCAGCTGCGGCAGACTGTTCTCTCTCTCTCTCCTCCGTGTCCCCGTCCCGTCAACCCCGCCCGTCCCGTTAAAGAGATAGCGCCACACACGGAGCAGCACCTGAGAGACGTCTTCATCAAGGCTATCCCGCTAACATGTCAGGCATGGTTGATAAAAACATAAGAAAATTTTAAATTAACTCCCCGATCTTTGTTAAAGACACTGAAAGCATATTTTTATGAAAAGTGGGCTCCGTTTAGACCGTCCAAAACTTAGCCCAAAAATAGTCGTTAAAGGGATATTCCGGTGTAAAATTAATTTACGGTCAAACTCATCGTAACACCGAGTTAGACATTCCCTAGAGAGATGAATGTTGCCAACTGCTTGCTTCTCTAGTTATACCAACTTTAGTAACGACCGCACGATAGCAATATACAGCGGTCTGAGGAGCCATAAACAAACCTCAACCAAAACGCCACTCTATAGCCGCAAATAATGCTCAGAACAGCACCTAACTTGTCAACAGTACATATATGGTCCCAACCATAACACTAGCCACCAAACATCTTTTTAACTTTGCCTCATTTCTTTAGCAAAGAGACTAAACACAACTCACCTACTGTCTTCCAGCAGCCGCTTGTTCGTACCCCCTTGACACAGCTCAATGAAGAACAATTATGATAATTCCCTTATGAAAATGCAATCAGACCGAGATGCTAAGGCAGAAGAACTACCATGTCTGCATTGCAAAATGATTAATATGGTGATGATTACTTCAAGGAAATGATAAAGTAATGATCATAAATGCTCTTCCCTGAGCTGGCCTGAGGTCTTACTACAAACAAGCGGCTGCTGGAAGAGAGTGGGTGAGTTGTGTTTAGTCTCTTTGCTAAAGAAATCAAACAAAGTTAAAAAGGTGTTTGGTGGCTAGTGCTGTGGCTGGGACCCTATATGTACTGTTGATGAAGTTAGGTGCTTTTCTGAGTTTTATTTGTGGCTATAGAGTGACGTTTTGGTTGAGGTTTGTTTATGGCTCTTCAGACCCCTGTGTATTGCTATCGTGAAGTTGTTACTAAAGTTGGTGTAACTAGAGAAGCAAGCAGTCGGCAACATTCATCTCTCAAGGGGGTGTCTAACTCGGTGTTACGGTGTGTTTGACCCTAAATTAATTTTATGCCGGAATTTCCCTTTAAGTGGGCTTCTTCTTCTTCTTCTTCTTCTTCTTTTTCTTCTTCTTCTTCTGCTTTTTCTTCTTCTTCTTCTTCTTCTTCTTCTTCATGAACTTTATTCATCTGATTGGCCACCTCAGTGAAAACTGGACCTGGCTACAACCACAGTAGAGCTCTGAAAGCTCAATTAAATCAGGCCTACATAGTTGGAAACAAATGTTATGAAGTTTTCATCATTTTAACTGGTGAACTGCCTCTGAAACAGCACTTGTTGTGTTTATCCATTTTTAATTTCTTTATCTGGCCTTTAAAAAAATGTGTGTAAAGTGTAATCACATGGATAGCAGGGTCTGATGAGCAGGGGCACCTTTTGTCCACCAGGGGGAGTCTGACTCTATTTATTGATCACACTCACACACTCCACAGGTTGTCCACCATCATCTGAGAGAACTAGCTTGCTTTGTCCAAACAATTCAAAAATCTCATGTTCATGTGAAAAAAGGTTCAGAGTCATGATTTACTGAAGGCTGGATGCTGACTGATGCCACATTGATATGATAAATGTATGATGGCCGGTTAGGTAAGGCCACCGATTGATGGGAGGAGAAATAAAACAAGAGAAATATCTGCATAAATACATTACTGGTTTGTGTAATTCATAGGTGGTCTAGCTGTATAAAAATCCTTATAAATCGTGCATGAGTCAGGAGTTATTATTATATTATCAATCATTATCAAATAGACAGTTCAGGAAAAATGTATATGAAAAGAATAAAAAAACTTGTGAGAGAATTCATATTGCAGTCTTCTGTGATGCCACCTCTTGACTGTACATCTGTAATCTCCATATCTCCTGCTGAATGATTCACATCATGTACAAATATCCAAAGACACAAAGTAACTGTGAACCATTGTATCTGATTTTAATAAGAACTTAACACGATTATATATACAGAAACAAAAGGTTTATTCTTTTTTTTCTCATCATCACATGGTCCAAACAAAGCCATTATGATCCCCAAACACAATGAACTGCTTCCTCTATTTCAACAACTACCTGATTTGTCAGACATCATCACTACAGCCATTGGTGTTGTTAAAGCGTGCATTCACTGAACGTTAATATGTCAAACAACTGCAGAAATAGCACCAGAAAGTTTTAACTCCATACACTGTATAAAAAGATAGATGACATAACAGTACCAAAAACTAAAGCCAAAAGATTTAGAGCACTCCCTGCTGACTGGCTGCAGTACATGACATGAAGCCTGCCTCCTTCATGTTAGTAGATAGAAAATATTGTGGTCCTGGAGGTCACCTGCACAAACATTTCATGATCTCAAAAGACATTTCACTGAATGCCAAAAAACACTCCACAAAAAAGGTTAAAACCAATGAAACATTTGACAAGAAGTAAAAAGATTTAAGTGCTTGTGAGGATCCTTTCAGAAAACAGAGAGGGTGGGACTACACTGCTTCTCTCTGACTGGACTTAACTAAGTCCTTCACAACAGCCACCTGCAATTTACTGATCATGGAAGTTACTACAGTGATAGCATGGAGTTTGGAAGGATTGTAAGGGAGCTTGTGCACATATAATATCTCTGTGTTTTTATGGGAATAAAGTTGTTTTTTTTTTGTTTTTTTTTTTTTTCAATAATGAAGTGTTTGTGCTGTTGACCTTCAGGGTCAAATTATATGAAAATACAGGCTAAGTACATGTTTCTTAAACATGTTTTCTTTCTTCAAAGTTAGTTCTCATCATGATTGTTTATGTCCAGATGTCACTTTTCTGAAAAGGTTAGTTTTGGTTAATCATTTGATGCAACAAGGTGGTAATACTAATTTTCAGTTCTGTGGACAAATGCAGCTCCAGTGCTATGTGCACCAGAAAAGTACAGTCAATGTGATATAAGCAAAAGTAAAAAAAAAAAAAACACCAGCTGAGGAGTCGCTAAGCTTCATACATGTCTGCTTTTAACTGTCTGAAGAAGCTGTTATACTGTAAACTGTGCAGACCTGGAGGATCTTTGCTATTTTATGAGTTAAATGTGTGGTTTGGTTTGCCAATACTGCAGCTTCAAGAATAGATGCCTTCTGCACTAACTTGTTTTCCAAATGGGCAAATGCACCACTTGGTATTTTGGTACCAGTTCTGTCAAATGGAGAGAAGGTTGAGATACATCACTAATCCTTATATACAATCAATAATAAATCCTCGTTAGTGTCACACTGATCACTCTAGCTGTCTCATTGTTCTGTGTGATTTCTCAGCTTAAATAAAAGTTCCAATACATTGTCACCATTTGTGAAACTGATGAACTCATCTAGAGCTGCAGCATTGCACCCACCATAATCCTCATTTTCTTCTTCTGTACTGACTCCATGTGAAAGCACCTGTTAAAAGATAGAAAATCACCACTTTTTACCTCTTTTTTGTCTGTTAGAAGTCATATATTGCACTGTTGTGTCCTCTTTGTGGGTCAGCTGTGTCTTTATTCGTTGACTTCTCCAGGCATGAGGACATTCTTCTTAGTCAGTACCAGTCTGTGTCAGATGACTGAGCCTTAACATGTTGTCCCTGTTATTCACACAGATGAGGCGACCACTCCAAGCAGTGCTGTCAGAATTAGCTTCACCTGTCGTCAGCTCTACTAAGTTGACGGTTTCTGCTCATTTCATTCGGTGTTTGTCCATCTTTATGTTAATCTTTTATCCACCTTCATGTCCTCCTGAAATTCTGCCTGTTTCTTTATCTGTCAGTAATATCTGTTGAGGCTTTGGGTGACTGTGCTGATGTCTGGTTGTCCATTCATCCAGATCTCTCGGAGAATCCTTTCACGCTCTTCAAGCCTCTGGGCCCGGTCCAGCTCTGCATACACACACACAAAGATAGAGGGTTAAAGCAGGCTCATAGGGGATCCATTCACATAACCATCAAACTTGACATCACCATGGAGAGGACTTTCTATATTTAAAGGATGGTCACAGTGTGGGTGTGTATGACAGAAGAGCTCAGAGATAGAAAAGTGTATAAATGTGTACTGACAGGTTATCAGGCAACACCAAAACATCCCCGAGGATTACATTCATCCAATTTAAAAGCTTCCTATTTTTTTAACAAACAAATTTTTATCTCTACTCTGTATCCCGTCTTCCTCTTTTCCAAACGTGTTTGGCTTGGTTTCGTTTGCTTACATTACTGTATCAACACATGAATAAAAAGAACGTTGTGTTTTTGTTAACTTAATATGAGCTTTTATTGAATTTCAACATAAGAAGTCGTTCCCTTTCCTGGAAGTTGCCACACTAGCACAGAACAGACAACCTGGTAAGGACCAGCTGCGTTGAATTTGTATCAATAGAAGTTTGAATATGACAAACAGAGGATCATTCTTATCATGGAGCTTTTTGTCCTTGAAGGCCACCATCACTTTACCAATGGGAGGGTTGAGCAAGAGAGCGTATCAGTCTAGAATCTGACAACAAGACATCTCTAAATATTCCCCTTACAATTCACTGTACCTTTAACTCTATAGGCCTAAATAAAGCTGCATAATAATCATGATGATATTATTATAACACATTAAGGACTTTTAATAAATACATCCTAAAAGTATGAGTTTATTTTTAAGGAATAAAAAAAAGTGTTTTATGTAGCTGTCTGCCACCTTCAGATTAAATGTTACCCAGTTAATAATGAAAAATCTACTATACACAACCTTTGTATTTTTGTATCTTCTAACATTGATGAACATCACATATTCCCATTTTATACTCTGTTGAGCAGGCCAAGTTTTTCTATGATTCAGAAGTTTTACATGTATTAAGCCTGAGTGTGTGTGTCAGAGAGAAATACCCTCAGCTGATGTGAACATGGTGGCGTTCAGCAGAGCTCTCTCAAAGCGTCTGCGTCTCCGGGCAGACAGGTCAGAGGTCTCATCCCATTCCTCTGATTCACTGTCCCCTACAGGCCCCGCCCCTCCAGAGGGCACCACAGCCATATTGTCCGGGTTACTGTCAATGGGTTGATGGTGTGGACAGTTATGATGCCGGCGGTGGTGATGATGCTTGTGCCTGTGGCGTCGATGGGCATGTTTACTGTTGCCATAGTGACAATCTGCTCGACAGTGTATCTGAAAGACGATGGCGCAGAGCGTGACAAGAAGGCCAACGCACACTCCACCCAGAAACACCAGAGCTGTCCTCTCTGGCTGGTCTAAAGAGACAACGGAAAAGAAAATTATTTAAAAGTTTTATGAAAATCAATGAAGGTCCTATATAACAGTATTATGAAATGTTCTGGATGTTTACTAAGCAAGGTTTTAAAATGTGGTTGCAAAACTGACATACAGGCAGATAGACACCAAAACAAACATGGCGAGCCCTCCAGAAGAAGTGATATCAGTACACTATATATAAATATAGGATCCAGCATCTGACCATTAACATGAGGAGGCAGTTGTTGAAGGGTTACAGCAGTTACAACAGCACGTCTCTGAGAGATTTATTAAAATTTTAGTGTTCTTACTTTCTTGCAGTCTGAGATTAAATGGCTGGAGAAAAAACTATTAGCATCAACTGTGGCAGAGATGTTGTCATGTATAAAATGCAACCCCTGTTTTCTTAGGCTCTGTTGCTGGGACAAAGAATAGATGTTTGTTTTGGTTTTTGCTTTTAAAAACAGAGCAGTTGGCATGTCTTGCTTAAACCTTCAACATCTTAACACTGCAACAACAAAGATAAACCAGTGGAGGCTGAAGCTGAACTTCTCAAGGAATGGGAGGGGGGAGCAGTTTTGTGTGCATGCTTTTGTAAATCATTCCCATTGTTATGTCACCACAGGAGCCAATACTAATTCAAATCCTTTTCCATGCTTATCTGTACAATCCTTTTTTCATATTCAGTTACTTACACTCAAGGGTCTGACTGATTTCATATGTGCTTGAGGGCAAATAGCCAATTTAACCATGACTTCTAGATCTTGGAGTGGCAGCCGAGGTGGCCAATCAGATTTAAGAACTCAGACTCACTGGGGTTTCATCAGACTTCTTGCAAGGCTTTGCTCCTAAACTGTGGTCCAGGACCCAAAATAAGCCCATAAGAATAAGAATAAGAATAAGAAATTCACTTTGTTTCCTGACAATGATTCCATGACCTAAACTTGAGGATATGACAGTGTTGGGCACCTTTCCAATACCAGAGTGAAAAGTAACTATCACTTTTGCTTTACAGGACTAATCTTTTTAGGATGTGAAATGCTGTAAAGCTTAGCTGAGCACACTGAAGAGATCCTGACATGGAAAAATAACCTAAATACAGCCAAAATGGATCTGAAAAACACTGACTGTTGGTAACCGGCTAGCATTGGCTAACGCAGAGTTTTCACAGCATTGTTGTGTTTGCTTCTGTTACCTGATAACTCATGGTGATCAAGTACTCCTCTGATGTTCTGACCTAGTATTTGGTTGTTGAGAGTGTAATATTTATGCTGATGTGTAAGCAACTGTGTTGGAGAAGACACTTGATACCTTGAACCCTATATCAATGGTGGTATTGTAGCACATTTAGCAGCAGAATTCTCCAGTGCTGTTAAAACCACTACAGCTTGGCTCCACACAGCCAAACATAGTGTATTTTTTCTGATTGGACCGACCTGCGATGAAGGTATAGGCTGCCAGTATGTTGCTGATCATTGCCATCTCCTTGGAGCCCATCCCCACCTCCACTTCCACCTCCACACTTGGGCTTCCTGTCGTTGAAGCGCTCATTATTTCACAGCAAGTTTGGCCTGTTGTGTTGTCTGGAGGTCATACTTCATGAATCCTTCTGGACCACAGGTTTGAGAGGATAGGAGTGACAGATAGACACAATGAAAAGGTTTAGGGGTGAAGGGTGAGAGGGAGACAGAAGGAAAATGTTGAGTCACTGTTTTCATTGTAGAACCCCAGCACTCTTCAGGAGGTTTCATACCAAGAGTTTTTACCTTTTAAAACCTACATGATGGCAAACTAGCTATTCTTCAACCTCCATATCAGTCAGTGGATGAAAAACAGTCCTGCACATTGAAACAATCCAGACTCATGTGGTAGTTATGCTCTAGTTTGTGAACCTATCATTTCTATTCAGTCACAGCTGACACATGTTTTTTATGGAGACAAAATGAGTAAATGATATAGTACTTTAGAAAGATTAACAGTTTACCCCTTAATTTACTCATCTCCTCACACCTCTCCTCTCGTTACAGACATGCCTGAGCTGTTACCTGTGGGTTATAAAAGCTGAAGTATTCAGACCACAGAAGAACTAAAATTACACCGCACATGCCAGTATAAAATTGAAGATCACATAGAAAGTGATATAAGTACTTACACCCAAACACTAGTTTTATATAAGACATATAGAGAAGCAGTACAAGAAAAACAACGACAACAAAAACAGATGTACAGCATTTTAAGCAGAGGAAAATCACTTCCAGTGGAAGCTAGAGGGAAAAGTCTGTAAATTGAGAAGTGTGAAAATGGAGAAAACAATACAAGAATGCAAAAGTGGTTGTTAGGTCTCCCTCAAACAAAGGAGAAAAAAACAGGAGGAGGTTTCAAAGACAGAGAGAGAGGTTGGGTAACTTCTGATTCATTGTTCCCATGATGTTACATCACAATATACAAGTACAACAGATTAAGATTCTTTAGTTCTGGCTCCTCCACATTTCAGCAATGTAACAGCAATGGAAACAAAAGTTTACAATGGTTAAAACAGTCCGGTTATAAGATTATATATGGAGTGATTTAGGTAAATGTGTTCATTTGAATGCAGCTGTAGTTTCTTTCATAGCAAACTGAAAACTCAGTTGTAGAAATACTTGTTACAGACAACTTATGGTTTTCATACTCATCGATTTGAGGGTGACATTCAGACCTTAAAGTACTTTTTTCTACGTTTGAACAGTATGATTAAAAAAAAAGTCATGGCTTGTCTTTTCATAGTGATGCTGTGAAAAGCAGTCCTGTCCATCTAATGAAAAATGTGGGTGAAAGTTGGCAGAATCACAAAAGATTAGTAGAAAAAAGGGAATAGAGAAAGGCATTTTACTATAACTTTATGTGTGAAAGTCAGCGCTCTAGCATGACCACCCTAGTCCAATAAACAAAAAAACTGGACACACCCCTGTTCACAACAAAAAAGAAAAGCATTTAGTCATAGAGGAATTTATCATTCATCCCTTAAATCGAAGATCTGATTCAAGTAATGGTCAGGAACCTCTCTATGGTACTTGTTTGTGTTTGTAGATTCTAAGTCAACCACTAGGTGACACCAAACAGCCATCGTCCCTCTCTTATTTGTGGTTGTAAATACAGTAGATTCACTCAGATCAGGACGGAGCTGACCTTGCTGTTGGACATGAACACTCTCTTTCTTTTTGTTACCTACACTCAGCTACTGTAGGCTTTGTTTTAGCACTACATATCACACTTTGCTTTGACTGTTTTTCAGAAAAATCACCTTCAAAGATGGCATCAAGTGAGCATCACATCCATTACTCAGTCCAGAGAAATCCATTAGTAAAGTCATCATTAAAATATGATGGTATTTTTAGGACTCTTGTCCTGGTCTTGCCTCAGGTCTTGAATGTGTTTTGTTTTGTGTTCTTTGGTGCCGCATACCACTCAGTTTACTGCCAACGCTTATTGTGGCAGGCAGGTTAAATGTAGGGTAGAGATAGAGGAATACAGTTTTATACTGTATTTTGTCTAGACATGCAGCCGGGAGTCCCCCACACACTCTCAGTATTATATCTTCTTAGTCAGTGTGTTTCCTATTGATAGATTTTATTTTAGATTTCGTAGGATCTTTAATTCTTAAATTTCACAGGTGTAGACTGTCTGAGAAAGCAGAAAGCAAGTCTTTTCTCCGTCTGCTGTATTTTATTTATTTTTTAAATGTTTTTTTCTTTTACTTTTTTGAGCCTAATCTGTTGATTCCAGGGATGATTTTCAGAGTTTTTTCCAGACATATTTAACTTTAAAGTGGCTTGCCCTAACCTGGATAAACATCACACTGAGATAGAAGTCATGATAAAATACATGCACAGTATTTGTCACAGAGGCTATTTTGGACTACCTCCTCACAGCAGTTTTAAAGCATTAAATGTCACAACATAAAAGTGATCAATATTGTTGCTGATGGTGCCTCTGAAGGGCTTAAAAAAGCATCAGTATCAGTTGCGGTACTTCTGTCAACTCTTAAAAACTCCTCACAGTGCCTTTATACTGTGCCATTTTATACACCTCAAGACAATAATAATCAAATACCATCCAATAGCTGTGATCGATTTGATATGATTTCATTAAGGATGGGGAAACTATGTTTTTAAAATTCCATGGCCAATAAATGTGCCATTCATTGGCCAATTTAACTGGAAAAAAAACATGTAATTAAAAAATAGAAGCATTGTATAAATGCAGCAGATACATGTTTCCGTGTTCTTAATCTCTATCTGTCGCTCCTATCCCCTTTTCTGTTTGGAAAAGTGACTGACAGATTATTTGGATGATAGCAATTCCCCATAGTTGGAACTCAACGCTGACAGACTGAAATTAACAAATGCTTAAATCTGTGTTAACGATATAAGGCGACAGTGAAAAGATACATGAAAGAATCTGTGATCTCCTTTACAGTCTGCCCTTGTTTTTCATCGTTATATGGCTCACATACCACAGAGGCTGAAAATCCCTGTCATAGGTTTATGGAGCTTTACTTGCACTGTGTGCAGTGCTAACAGATGACTCAGTTCTTTGCATGTTTATTATGACACACTGTGTTTCTAACGCTCTGTTCATCTGGATCTATAATGTGGTTAGACAGACTGAGCTGTGCTACTCCGGAAATAAACCTGTCTGCTTCAGCGAGTCCAGCTGTTCAAACATCCCTCGCCTTACAATGGATCATACGCAATTTTACTCATAATGGCTTTAATCTTGATCTGTGGGATAATACTGGTATAAAAAAGAAAGATTGTTTCATCATCTTTGCAGGATCTCACTTAGGCTGAATACTTGCAAACACTGAGCACAGTCAAAGATTTGCAAACGTCTCTATCTGCTAAATTGTAACACTTGAGTTGAGCAATATCTGCACATGAGTGACATTAAAATCTCTGAACTGTGCAGGAAGCGTGACTCGATGATTATACTGAGAATTCATGAAGCCCCTCGGCAACATTTTTATTACTTACATTCCTGGATAATGTTTCGTAATGTGCTTGTCAAAACTCTGGAAAAACAAAATTAAGCTCCGTGGATGTGAGTGTTAATCCTTTTTATGAGAGTACAGACACAGACTGGAGCAGTGTGATCAGGACAACGATTTCCTCTTTTCATAGGTTTTTAATTTCCTGAATGTTCAGTGATTTCCCCAGCTGACATCTTTAACACATCTCATTACTCATGGATGTGTTCACACTGACTGTTTATGAGCTTTCCCCCCATTACATGCTTTATTAAAGATTAAAAACAGGCTTAATTACTTCATGAGGAGGGATCTGACTTCCCAACAAACAACAGTAAATATACTATAGTTTGAAACACATACAACATCTTTAAAATTTAAACATCTGTAACCCTTAAGGTTTAACTGTGCAGTGGTAAAAAGAAGACAGAGAGGGCTTTCAGACAGTAAAAAGGTGAACACAAGGCTCAAAAGTATAAAGTTTGGACCTTTACGCATAAAAAATGGATGATGCTCTCAGAACAAATTAAACTGGCTTAATTTCTGTGAGTATTTTCTGCTGTAAAAACTCCATCTGTAACAGAAACAGCAGCACTCCTCACATGATGATACAAGATTACATTTTGTCTCATCCTCACACAGTCATTGATGAACAAAACTCGCCTCCCATTTGGATGTATGTCCCAAAATTAACAAAACAGTCGTATGATATACTTCTACAAGTACACAGAGACTGCAAAGGGACGCAACATGACAACAAGTCTCATGATACTTCAGTGCAACACAACACAACCAAACACAAAATAACCTCTGAGCAATTCTAATTCCACCGACTGTCAGGAGTGTTTTGTGATGTCGTGTGTGAATCCAGCAAGACAGGACTGCCCTTCTCCTCCTCCTGCTCTCTCACTTGCTTTGTCTTTTAGGTCTGACAATTAGGGGTTATTTTTTCCTCAAATTACAGCAAAAAAGCCTGCAATCTTAGAGAATTGTTTCATGTGTTATAGTTTGCTTTTTAATTTATGGTTTGAATGACTCATGCTTTGTTTCTTTCTAAAATACAAAACAAGCTCAAATCATTTGGACCCATGAGATCACTGCTGCTCCTATAAAACATTCAGCAAACACATGAACAGAGTGAGACGGGGATCAGTGTCACAGCTGCTAAATGAAGTGGAAAATCCTGACTTGATTTACTATCAGGTGGCTGAACATCACAGTTGTGTAAGGACATTAGTGTGAGACATTTGGCCTGCAGCCAGCTCATTACAGCCACTCACACCGTCCACCAGTCCAGACCAGCAGGAGCTAAGCTTCTAGTTGAATAGTCACACCTAGTGAAAAACTGCTGCTACTTAATCTGAAGGTTTCTTGGTGAACCTGTCAGGAAGACTGGATCGCTGTGATTACTCTGAGAGACAGTTTGGTAATGTTGCTTAGTAAGCTTGGTGTTCATTTCAGATAATGCTGTAGATTATGGGATCAAAACTGATGAGTTAGATGTAAAGGCTATAGCTAAAAGTAGCATCTGATTTGCAGCTCT